AGTCATGGTACAGTCATGGTACAGTCATGGTACAGATCACGTGACGAGGCTCAGCTCATGCGCGCTGCGGCGGCCAGGTAAAATTTTTAGATAATTTTTCAAGCTGGCGACCCGAATGAGAAAATACTTTTTTCCACTTATGGACTACATCGCTCAGTATTCATGTATTTCTCTCAAATTAATTAGCCAGGAGTTCTGAATTCAAAGGTAGAAAGGTAAAAGTTCAAAGGCAAATTTCAAAAGGTAAAATAAAAAAATCAAAATTATATCAAATGAAATTACGCTAAGTTATTGGGTTTATGGTGAATAAAAACTCCATTTCATTGTAAATTTCTACTCAAATTTGTTGATTAAGCATCTAATTTCGGTGTTTATTGCCTAAAAAATATTTGATTTGTTTTCAATTTTTTTTGAAGAACTGAACCATTGCCTGCATACAATTAACCATTGCATAAAAATCAGGTCATTGACCCCTGATAGAACCATCCATGCGGCGCCTTTTATTTGCCTGAGTCAGCGAAATAAATGACATCTTGACTCGCGGTCACGCCACCCAATTTGCCGCAGGACCAACTTCCCAGGAAATAACCTCTACGCCCAGAAGAAAAACTGATGTCATCCAGAAAAAATGACATTGTGAGCCGTGAAACAGCTGCTGTGTTCTGAAGTATAGCTGCTACCGTCTGGAAAATAATAGCAACTGCCCTTGAAACTGCTGTTATGATCCAAAAATAGGGGCTGGCGACTTGCAGAAAAAATTGCAGATGTCGATAAAATGGCTAGCAAGTTTTAAAATAAAGCTGCTGCCATTTAGGTAACAAGGTAATGGTTCATGAAACTGATGTGGTGTTTCATAATAAAGCTGCTGCCATCTAGCTGCTGCCATTTATTATAAAACACATGACGTATTTTATAATAATGCTGCGGCAGTCATGAAGAAAAAGTGACAGCAGTTCATGAAACAGCTACCGTTTTTCAAAAAGTAGTTGCTGTAGTTCAGATAAATAAGAAGCAAGCCATGAAACACCTACTGAAGTCTAACTTTCAGTTACTGCCGCTCAGAAAAAATCTCTTTGTTAAAAAAATCCCTGCAGCCGCGCACCAAGAACTACTGTTTAGTATATTGCAGCAACGGGGAAAAAAATATTTTGAATATTACGAGTGTGGCCCAAACATCGTGGCCGCGGCAACGGAAACAACGCCTTTCGTGATAAAAATTATCGCTTGCGACTTGATATAGCTAGAAGGTACCACATAGAAAACAGCTGCTGTTGCCATAAATGAAACAGTAGTTCTTGAATTTAATAAAACAGCATCTTTTTCCTGGAATAAAATAGTTGCTAATGTCCCAAAAGGAAGCAGCAGCTGTCGCCCTCTCCCCTTAAAAAAGCAAATGCATTAAAAAAAACGCGGAAGTCGGGACGGCGCACTAGATAGCAGCGTCGGTTATCGCTGTGGGGAACTGATGAGGCTTCCATCGTTATCGCTTGGTCGTATTCAGCAACAGACAGGAACAGAGAGCAACAGATAGCGACAGACAGCAACAGACAGCAACAGACAGCAACAGACAGCAACAGACAGCAACAGACAGCAACAGACAGCAACAGACAGCAACAGACAGCAACAGAGAGCAACAGATAGCGACAGACAGCAACAGACAGCAACAGACAGCAACAGACAGCAACAGACAGCAACTGAGAGCAACAGACAGCAACAGATAACAACAGACCGCAATAGAGAGCAACAGACAGCAACAGACAGCAACAGACAGCAACAGACAGCAACAGACAGGCCCTCATCAGCTAAGAGGTTGTCCCCACAAAAATTGAAGAAGATATTGTGGCCGCCTGTGCTGAAAGCAAGCAGCGGCAAACAATGGCTGTAGAATTACGCTAGAATTGTTATCTCTAGCACAACATGATAACAAATACTCGTTTTGTTATGAGGCACAACATGATAACAGATACTCGTTTTGTTATCTCTAGCACGACATGATAACAAATACCCGTTTTATATCTCTAACACGAAATGGTAGCAAACATGCGTTTCGTAATCTCTAGCACGACATGATAACAAACATTCGTCTTATTATCTCTAGCACGATATGATAACAAACACTCGTCTTGTTATCTCTAGCACGACATGATAACAAACACTCGTCTTGTTATCTCTAGCACGATATGATAACAAACATGCATCTTTTTGCCTCTAGCACGACATGATAACAAACACTCGTCTTGTTATCTCTAGTACGACACGATAACAAACACTCTTCTTGTTACCTTCAGCTCGATATGATAACAATCACTTGTCTTTTTATCTCCAGCTCAATATGATAACAATCACTCGTGTTGTTATCTTCAGCTCAAGATGTTGGTAACAATATAACTAATTCATTATTTCCGTTCTGTTTTGATTTTTTCGAGCTACTTTGATCGCATTGGGCAACTGGAAAGTGATCAGAATTTTATAGTAAAGTTCTAGTTATTATTACTATTTTCTACACTATTACTATTTTATAAAATTTTCAGCATAGACCAGTGCATATTTTTATTTATTTTTTACTTATTTTGTCAGTCAACAAGACGAGTTTGTCAGTACTGAGAATTATTAAGATGCCTTAATTAGTGCTACAGTTTACCACCAAAAATTTTTTTTTAGGAAAATCAAAGAAAACGGCCTTGATATTTTTAATCATAACCAACATATTATTCTATGATAACCATTGCATAAATTTAGTTTATATAGATGTTCATTGCATTTACTTAGTAAAACATAATAATTTCAACTTTTGAATTTCCAAGATTTTACATATATATTCTATTAATTAACGTTTAAGGAAGAGCTCAAGTGCATCATATTTAGGTATCTCTAAAACAAATTCCACTGAATGTATATAAGAATGTTCTCTCATCAGAAGACGCGACTCACACAGAAGTCGGGACCTTCATAGAGTAATCCTGATGTCATTATGAATATAGTCTTTAATTCTACAACAGAAGTAATACAGAATAACAACCGAGTTAAGAATATTACGATAAACGTTACATTTGGATAGAGAGCATTTGGTATGAGTGAGCACTGACAGCAATTTCTAATTAGCAACTTGGCAAAGTGCTTCACTCTAGAAATTACTCATATGTAATATATATATTTTTGAAAAAATATTTCACAAATTTATCAACTTAAGATCAATATTATTGCTGTTCCGTATGTTGCATGCGAGTGAATTTAAACAGATCCCGTTACAAAGATGGAAACGTAAGATGGACTACGCATATTTGGCATTGCATACAAATTACACTCTTAGTAATGAGTTCAAGACTCGTCCGTGCTCTAATAATGTACTGCTTAGTAATTCATACCTCAATAATAAGCTAAAAGTTCAGCTTTCGTCCTCCACTAATAAGTTTGGAGTTCAGCCACCCAGCATCTACTAATGAGTTGAGAGTTCAGCCACCCAGACTCAACTAATGAGTTGAGAGTTCAGCCACCCAGCCTCTACTAATGAGTTGAGGGTTCAGCCACCCAGCCTCTACTAATGAGTTGAGAGTTCAGCCACCCAGCTTCTACTAATGAGTAGAGAGTTCAACCACCCAGCCTCTACTAATGAGCTGAGAGTTCAGCCACCCAGCCTCTCCTAATGAGTTGTGAGTTCAACCATCAGCCTCTACTAATGAGCTGAGAGTTCAGCCACCCAGCCTCTACTAATGAGCTGAGAGTTCAGCCACCCAGCCTCTACTAATGAGCTGAGAGTTCGGCCACCCAGCTTCTACTAATGAGCTGAGAGTTCGGCCACCCAGCCTCTACTAATGAGCTGAGAGTTCAGCCCCAGCCTGCAATAATGAGTTACAGGATCTAAAACTTTCGTATACGCAATCGCCCCCGAACGAGAAACTATATTTAATTTTTTGTATAATTTTATTCCTATTGTTTTTAAATGAATAATTTACTTGTTTATACAACTAATATACATGTTTATCCGACTATACAGGTTAATACGACTAGTAGTATTACTAAATTGTACTTTTATGTCCACACTCCGCCATTACATAGTGGAGTTTGGATCTAGCTAGAAAACTATAAGCTGGCCTACTTATTGTACAATACATTAAATATCGTACAATTTTAACGGGGACTACATAATTCATTAACAGGAAATAATAACAAGATATATGTTATATGACGCTGCGAAGTGCCGTCTGTTCTGCTGGTTGAGAAGAAGCACCGAAGCTGCTAATAAGTTGTAGTAGGCTATCGTGCGCTTGTTTATAAGCTTTCCATACGATGCGCTCTAAGGAGATGTCCAACTTACCGGATATTTACTGGATGTGTACTGAGAAGATGTCCAACTTACTGGATATTTACTGGATGTGTACTGAGGAGATGTCCAACTTACTGGATATTTACTGGATGTGTACTGAGGAGATGTTCAAGTTACTGGATATTTACTGAATGTGTACTGAGGAGATGACCACCTTTCTGGATATTTTTCTGTCGAGCTTACGCACTTCATTGTGGATTCTGCCAATTTCTGAAGTTGTACTTTGTAGAGCAGCCCTTAGATTCTTCCCAGACGGCTTCGTCGGTGAACACTTGTTCACCACACTGAACACTTGTTCACCACACTAAACACTTGTTCACCGCACTAAACACTTGTTCACCACACTGAACACTTGTTCACAACACTGAACACTTGTTCACCACACTGAACACTTGTTCACAACACTGAACACTTGTTCACCACACTGAACACTCGTTCACCACACTGAACACTTGTTCACCACACGGAACACTTGTTCACCACACTGAACACTTGTTCACCACACTGAACACTTGTTCACCACACTGAACACTTGTTCACCACACTGAACACTTGTTCACCACACTGAACACTTGTTCACAACACTGAACACTTGTTCACCACACTGAACACTTGTTCACCACACTGAACACTTGTTCACCACACTGAACACTTGTTCATCACACTGAACACTTGTTCACCACACTGAACACTTGTTCACAGGGTTCATCACGGATCCTTTTGGACACTGGAAAGCGCGACTGAAGGCCTCGGAATTCGACAGTGTCCCGACAACCCTGCAAGGAGAAGGACTGGCTTAGTGAATTAGGCTGGCTTAGGACTGGCTGGTGAATTTTAATATAAACAGCCAACAGGTTGATGTAGAAAGCTAACAGGTTTACGTGAACTGTCAATATTGCCGGACAAACAATTAGCGACTTAGTCGCGTTACACTGGCCGTTGAACATCTGTGAGGTATTCACACAATCGACAGGTAGTTAATTAAGGAAATAATCAAGGAAGCTTTTATTTTAATTTATCAAACAAAATCTTGAGTTTGAGTTCGAATGGTTTAGCTTCATAGTAATGGCGAAAATATTTAGTCGATAAGAGCCGAATCCCAAAGTTCAGAATGCGATATATAAGAGAAGTTGAAGGTTGATGGTTGACATAACACGTGACGAATGCGTGACGTAGATATAACGTAAGGCCGGCAAGTTTCAGGATCGGGTTAATGTATATTGGAGAAGAAATAAATTAAAATTATAAATCTTGCAAAATGACGAGGTAGAAAATTACAGCCTAAATAAATGATCAAAATTTCATTTATTTGAACAGAAAAAAACGCACACAACAAACCTGAGGTTTAAATGCCCAGTGTGGTGATCACTTTTTGAATGAAGAATAATTGCAGGAAAATAGCGGTAATCAGTTTATGGGGTGGGAAGTTGGACGAGAAAAATAGCTAGAACAGTAGAAGGTTTTGATGCTTGAGAAATTTGAGATAAAGATAAGACTAAGATTTAAACAGTGATCTTTGCAAGTGACGTCATCAAGAAACGCCCTTCTTGAGCAAAAACTACTAAAAATTTGAACAACTTTATTTGACTTATAATAAATCATGAATAAATTTACAACATGAAAGTTGAATTTGAATTAATTTGAATAGTAACACTTCCAACTAACTAGGTCCAACTTCCCAACAGATTGAATAAATGAATTTGATAGAGCAAAAAAAATAAACAAAACGAAATTCAAACGACATTCACACAAACCAAGGGACAGAGAAACAGGTTTGAAGCAAGATGATAGAAATACTTGAACGTTGATGCTGGTAAGTTGATAATCGGTTGAATGGCTGATAAACTGGCAATCGGCGGTGGTAACTTCAGAAATGCTAATCTTTTGAATCTAGATTAAAATATCGAGATTTGAACACAGATTTGGTCACTGGCGGCACGTAAAATGTGAGACAATCGATAAGTGATGCTGATGAGGACTGTCAAGATCCGCGGCAGAACCCCTGATTTAGACTACTAGTAATACTTATTCTTCGGCTAAAGTTATAGAGAATCGGTTTCTAGAAGCAAGATAATTCGGTTAATATTAGATCATATAAACAAACCCTAGCATATATACTAATTAACGGTGAGAAATTAGGAATTTCTCACACATCAACATTGTTTTTCCCTCCTTCTAATCCAAATTTTATTGTTTCTCATTGCTTCTTGATATAGAAATTTAACTGAAATTCAATATGTGAAAATGTGAGGGCACTGCAACTAACCTGAACCTGTTAGGGGAATGTCTGCCAGTCCTCAGGTTTGTGAGGGCTGCCTCAGGAGTGTTCACCTCACACCAGATCTGGCCGAAGTTGAGGAAGAAGAGCTGGTCTAGTGTGAGGTTTGTGAGGCCTGGCAAGGCGGCGTCCTGGTGCTGTGTCAGCCATTTCTGGTAGGCCTATAGGCATATTTTAATAATATATTCAAATTATTGCGTTTTGACGTGATTTTCAAATTCTAAGTAATGGCTTGAATTGATTTAGTTTTAATTTAACCTGAATTTAAGTTTTTATTCTAAATGTACTGAATAAATTGAAGTAATTTTCCAATTCATTTTACTTAAACTAATTTTTTTCAGTTGAATTGATAATTAATCAGGAATTTAATTCTAAATTGCATTTAATTGCATCATCATTTTGCGTTCTTAAATTGCAAAATAATCACGCATCTAAAACATACCTGCCTATATAAGTAATATATTATGTATTCAGTTTGACTCAATAGTGAATTGATCATGAAATAAAAAGCCAAGAAATACCAAATTATTTTCCCAGATATAATCGAAACAATTTTCATTTAAAATTTGGTGAATTTCCAATGCATTTTATTAGCTTATGAAATCGTTTTCATGGAAAAAATTTCTCATTTCCCCTGCAGCCTTGCCAGGTGGAACATATAAATTTCTGCTGAAGATATCAGCAAAATAATATTTATAACTTGCATTCTTTAACTGTTTATGCCTAGATTGGTTAAAATAATCAACTGTTACAAAAATAAATTGATTCTTCCAAAGCTTTTGTTAGGCACATTAATGAATGATATTAAAAGTTCATATAAGCTTTAACCATTCATAATATAATGAAGTTATTAACGATGTTTAAACATTAAATGCATTAAATTACATTAAACATTATTTGTAATTAAAAATTATAATTAGTCAATTCACAGTTACTCACCGTATAGGCAATATTCAGTCCAGCGTTGTCGGCAATGTTCTCCCCGAGCGTTGTTATAGCGTTAACTTGCATGGCCAACTCCGGCACTTCGAACAGCCCGTATTGCTCTGTAGTGCAATGTTATTAATAAAACAATAATATTGATAACAATATTTATATGTTTTCGCTATAATATTATATATATAATATAATATAATATAATATAATATAATATAACATAATATAATATAATATAATATAATACATGCCGTGCCACACACCCAGCATGCAGGTGGCGCGCGCATAGAAGGCCAGCACGTCGCGCTTGGTCCACCACTGCTGCAGGTTGCCCGCCTCGTCGAACTGCCGGCCGCCGTCATCGAACCCGTGGCTGATCTCGTGCCCGATCACCACCCCCACACCCCCGTAGTTCAGGGCGCGGGGGTACGCGGGGTGGTAGAACGGGGGCTGTAGGATGCCCGCGGGGAACACTGGGGGGGAGGGTAGAAGGGGGGCTACAGGACACCCGCGGGGAACACTGGGGTGGAGGGTAGAAGAGGGAGATGTGGGATACCCGCGGGGAACACTGCGGGGGATGGTAGAAGGGGGGCTGTAGGATGCCCGCAGGGAACACTGCGGGGAGGGTAGAAGGGGGGCTGCAGGATACCCGCGGAGAACACTCGGGGGAGTGGGCTGTAGGATGCCCGCAGGGAACACTGGAGGGAGGGTAGAAGGGGGGCTACAGGATACCCGCGGGGAACACTGCGGGGGAGGGTAGAAAGGGGGCTGCAGGATACCCGCGGGGAACACTGGGGGATTAATTTTTGGTAACCTTTTATAATAGCATTAGAGGGATGAGTTTTGTGAAGGGAGTCATGAAACTTGTTAGTGGATTTGATGCAATTTCTGGTGAAAATGATGATTTTTCGTGTGAAAAAAGTGCAGGCATCAATTCTAATTTTTTTCAACTGTAAGTTATTGTAATGTCAAGGAGTGTTGTAAGGACTTTTATGATTTTTTAATTGAGAATTATTCAATTCGATTATATTCTAATCGAGGAAATAATTACGAATAAGAGGGAGGATCTATTAAAAATTTTAGAACATTTTGTGCATGTTTAAAGCCTTACAACGTATATATGCAGGGCTACACCAGCGATTGATTTTTAATGTTCGAATAACTGAAAAACATTGCATTGATTTTAAAATTAAATTAGCTCCTTAATTAAACAAATATATTGATCATGTTATAGTAGAAGGAGACTCAAACGAGGGTTTGAAAAGGTCTATCTTGAACTTGCACAATCTCAATTCAAAAATATATGCATAATAACGAGATTGTTAGACATAAAGATTATCTGACTGATGATGTTCTTGGTGCGACCGTTCATTGACTGTATAAAAACTGTACACTGACTGTATATAGACTGTACACTGACTGTAAATATACTGTATACTGACTGTATATAGACTGTAAACTGAAAGTATACAAATTGTACACTGACTGTACACTGACTGTATGCAGACTGTACACTGACTGTACACTGACTGTATGCAGACTGTACGCTGACTGCACACTGACTGTATGCAGACTGTACGCTGACTGTACACTGACTGATCATGTTCTTAGTGCGACTGTAGTAGGCGTTGACAGTTGCCGGCGCGGCGGCCCAGGCCGTCCTGTTGACAGGCTCGCCGAGCTGCGCGTGCGCGAGTTGCCAGTGGAAGCGCAGCATGCGCAGCACGTTGCTGAAATGCGCGTCCTCAGAGAACTCCAGCTGAATTAATACAGAATAGGTAACTTGTGCATAATTCAGTTATACATATCAATAATATCTCTAAATTTTGAGTAATACAAACATACAATAGTTGAGTTATTGGCATCATCTAAAACTGTCAATATTTCAAATGTTTACAGTTATGTTAACATTTGTACCGCATTTAATAATCAACCTGATTCAAATGTTCATCTGAAATACGTATAAATTAATTAGCGTCCGGATAAGGATGAATTCAAGAAATTTAAATATTAATAAACGATGAATTTTTTACCGCGAGAAAAATTTTCTGACGAGAAAATCTTTTTAACGGAACACCAAAGTGCGCAGAACTCAACTGCAGGGCGTTTTGATTTATGTTGATTGCATACATCAATATGGCAAGTTGTATTATGACTTAAAAAAATAAATGGAAGAATAGAAAATATGGTGAATGTGTCAAACAATGTGGTGGAACTGGTTTACGATAGTTGATAACGTATTTTTTTAGAAATAACTTTGCTTGTAACCATTGTACCCAACATAAGCGCCATGTGTTGATAAAATCTACGGTGTTTACTACCAGGATTTAAGTACATTCTCGATTTTTCCCACGATAAGATTCAGAATGAGAACTATAGATAATTTGTTAACATTTTCAGATGGAAGACTGATAATCAAGGATCAGAAATTTTTATTATAAATTTTGATATAATTTCCAAATTAAAAATGTTAATTGTTCAATTATATCCACTAAAACTCTATTCGCTTCATACCAGAATCATAATAATCATACGCAGATCTCTTAATAATCATGCCAAACTTCTCCGTTATTCTTGATGAACAAAAAGAGGTACTCATTTTACTCATCATCCCATACTCTCCTTCATTATTAGTGATCAAAAAGTGACACTCATTGTATTCACCATGCCATAATCACCTTCATTAATAGTGATCAAAAAGTAACACTCATTGTACTCACCACAATAGTGATTAAAAAGTGACACTCATCATACTCACCATGCCGAACTTTTCCATCATGTATGTATCGTTCAGAAGCTCCTCTGGGTACCCGATATTCCATACGATCGAATTCACCTGTTAATGTAATGATAAGCACAATCGATGCAATAACAATATTTATAATAGCAATTATGATAAAGATGATACAAAATGCAACAATTTTCAAAATTGAAGAATTGTATGACTAATTCTATGTATAATTATTTTAATAATTGAAATGGATAACCTTCAAAATTAAAATTACCTCAGTAAAGTGAAATTATCAATATCGAGTGACAACAACTAATGATAGTCTTCAATTGAATCAAATTCAATTTGTTCACTCCTATAGTAAAATTATTTCTGGATGATTTATTGAGCGCAGAAATATTAAATATTTTCTAAATATTAAACAGTATTTGCCGGAATCCTCATCACAATTAGTCAGGATTTTGACCAGAGATTGTTTAAATGTTCACCAGAATTCATGAGAATTCAGACCACCAGTTTTCCTACGTCCCTGATAGTCTCATTAGTAACTTACTTAAGGGAATTAATATTACCTTGGTTAATGGTTAGCTTCGACTATATATATAAATATGAAAGCCTCTCAATATTTCCAATATATAATAAGTGCGCGAAGTTTAATATTATTATATATGATATTTAATGTTGTTTGAATGCTATGTAAAAATAAATATAGAAGTGTATGAAAGCAGTACTAAATATTAAATGATGAGCAGTATTTTCGATATTTTACGTCTATATTTTGCAATATATGATGATAAAATATAAAGTTGTCTTCCGTATTATACCTTCTGCATGGCTGTATGCCTCGTCTCTGGCATCATCCATTCAGCGTCGGCCACACTCGCGCTGAACGCTTGTCGGATGAGACTGATCATCTCCTCGGTCTGTGGCGAGTGAGGGGAAATGTTTCTAAAATAAGTGTAAAATGTGAGGGTAAATTCCACTCCAATGGTGCTAAAAAAGTAAGGGAAATGACCATGCAATGAAGGGAAAATATGAGGGTAAATTCCACCCTAATGACACTTACAATTAAGGAAAATTACCCTCAAACGACGGTAATATATGAAGGGAAATAACCCTCCAATGAAGGGGAATTGTGCGGTTGAATGATTTTCAGTTGACGATAACTAAGCAATCTTACGTAAGTAGGTAAGTCTATGTAACCCGTAAGTAAGTAAGTCTAAGTAAACCTTAAGTTACGTTAAGTATAGGTAAATAATTCTCAATTCGAGACAACAAATGAGCTATTGCCTCTACTTCAAGTACTGGCAATAGCTCAAGCCGTAAAATCTGGTACTTAGTGGTTGACGGTATCGTCAGATCTGCAATCAATTGTAGAGAAAAATTTTTGATGAAAAATTTAAATCACTTTTTAACATTAACTTTTGATAGAAGTTTTCGAATTATTTTCCAAAGCAGTGCAGCCATTTCAATTTTCCTTTAATCTATATCGAAGAGCTATAGAATTTCGCAGCCTTTTAAAACTGAAACAAACCATAGATAGCATACAGCACCAACCTGGTTGTCCAAACTGACTTTACGCTTGTACACAGTTTATTAACATAAGTGATGATACTATTTATAATTCAACTATAATTTATCATTGCAGGTGATGGTAACATATATTATTTATACTCTAATTTATCATCACAGGAGATGATACTATACATTATTCTACTATAATTTATAGTATAGTACCAGGTGATGGTACTATACATTATCATACTCTAATTGATCATCGCAAGTGGTGGTATTATATATTATTCTACTTTAATTTATCATCACAGGTTACGGTACTACATATCGTTATACTCTAATATAAATAATAATCATGTGCGTCAATAACCACGCACGTCACGTCGGCTGTCCTCAGGAAAATAGCGCCGGACAAACAAGCTCCCCACGACCCCCCCGAGGTTGCCGTTCACGTACGAGATACACGACCTCCATCTGTACAGAAAATACTAGTTTATACAGGAAAATGTATACCATATTCGTCATTGAAGGAAATATAATCTTAATGTGCAAACAAATATAAAAGATACAATTTTTATATGAAAAAAGTTCAAAAAATGCCGTACAGCACCTACCTGGAGGGCTGAGAGGTGCGGCCGTACAGCACCCTGACGTACTCCTGCTTGATGGCGAGGGCAGCTGCGCCCAGGTTCCCAAGTCTGTTCTTGACGAGACGCCACAGCAGGTAATTACTGACCGTCCTGGGGGTAATAGAGGTTATTACCACAATATATCATGTATGTACAATGGTAATTAGTATAGTTGTGACACAGAATGAGTAAAGTAATAGAATTGAAGTGTCAGCACTGAAGAAATAGGCCCATGGCCTGTTGCCGATTCTTGAACTTTTCGTGACTTGATTAACAAGCTAGGGATCCGGCCTTTGGAACCCGATCTTTCCATAGCTGACGATTGATTGAGATAGCTGCTGGACTTATTGTCTGGTCCGTAATTTGCTAGGCATTTTAAGACTGAACATATGCTCCTGCATAGCTGTAATAAGTGAATGGTATTCAGCAGGTCCTTGAGGCCGCGTATGTAGGTGATGCAGAAGACCCCCCCTCTCCTAGACCTACCTTCACCTAGACTCACATTCACCTAGACACTCACCTAGGTGCGGTGGTATTGAGCAGGTCATTGAGGCCGCGCAGGTAGGTGGCGCAGAAGACGCGCAGGTCGCGCGTGTGGTTGCGGTGGTGCGGCGCCACGGTGTCCAGGTATACGTCCCACGCGATCTGCGTTACGTCATCCACACTCCAGGTGTATCAAAACTAATAACAACTGTTATAATACCAGTTGATAATAATTAATGCTATAATATATCATATTATAGCAATATAATATGGTATATAATAATAGTATTAACTAATAATAGTAATAAAGTGCACAAACCGCGGGGAACTCGTGCTGTAGCTGCTGCCGCGTGTAGCGCCGGTGTATGGCTGTCAGGTTGCGCCGCTCCTCCGCCGGCACCAGCACCTGCAGGGTGGAGGGGTGATTAATCACCGCGGTGTGATGAACCAAAGTGAGTTAATCATCACGATCATCGGGGGTCAATTACCATGATCATCGCTTGTCGATTATAGCACTTTGGTAAAGGAGATCGATCATCATGGTAAGATCACCGTAGGTCGATCATTCATCACGTCCAATCACTGGATCGATCACCTCTCCGTGCTTGATCACCATAGGTCGATCATTCATCATGTCGAATCACTGTGATCAATAACCACATGTTGATCGTGTAAAAAGCTCCAATTAGAAGCAGCATGACAATTCATTCACGCAACCAGAATTTTCGCCCCGAAAGCCAGCCGTGTTAACTGAGATCAGTAATTTATTTCTAAAGGTACAGTGTTTAACTGAGATACTGTGTTCAAATTTTGTGCCCTGGCCAAATGGGCCCCACCCTGGCCGGCTGGGCCTCACCTTAGACATTTGGGACTTACCTTGACCAGATGGGACTAGCCTTGGCCAACTGGGACTAGCCTTGACCAACTGGGACTAGCCTTGGCCAGCTGGGCCCCACCTGGGCCAGCTGGGCTTTAGTTGGGTCTTACCTGGTACAGCTGGACTTAAACTGGGCCAGAGGCCTTACCTGGGTCAGCTGGGTTTCAGTTGGGCCTTACCTGGGCCAGCTGGACCTTACCTTGACCAGCTGGGCCTCACATGGGTCAGCTGCTGAGCTTCAGTTATGTCTTGCCTGGGCCATATGGGCCTTATCAGGGCCCGCTGGGCCTTACCTGGGCCAGCTGGGCTTCAGTTGAGCCTTGCCTGGGCCAGCTTTGGGCTTCAGATATGTCTAACCTGAGCCAGCTAGACCTTACCTGGGCCAGCTAGACCTTACCTGGGCCAGCTGGGTCTCAAAGAAGAGGACGTCTGCCATGTCAGCGAGGGCAGTGAGGGGCGCCGCCCCCAGGAGGGTAGCCGTGCTGGTCATGAGGGTCAGGTAGGCGTTGCGATACTTGGCGTCGTGAGGGTTCAGGTAGTAGTTGCGGCCTGGTAGGCCTAGCTTCGGCTGGTCCAGCTGCTATGGTAGGGACAATTAGGGAGGATAGGCCTAGCTTCGGCTGGTCCAACTGCAATGGTAGGGACAATTAGGGCGGATAGGCCTAGCTTCGGCTAGTCCAACTGCAATGGTAGGGACAATTAGGGCGGATAGGCCTAGCTTCGGCTGGTCTAACTGCAATGGTAGGAACAATTAGGCCTAGGATTATGGGTAGGCTTGGTATGAGTATGAGGCACGGGATGAGACATTCATGAATGAAACATTTATGCATTTGACTGATGTAACCAGTTTTTTCTTAATAAATACTGTGTTTTTTTTTTTTTTCAATTGTCGTTATAAGAGGATGTGATACGTGTGATACATTCGCACTATCCTGCGTCTGCTGTTGGTGACGTCACCTGCACTATCCTGCGACTGCTGTTAGTGACGTCACCTGCACTATCCTGTGGCTGCTGTTAGTGACGTCACCTGCACTATCCTGCGACTGCTGTTGGTGACGTCATCAGCGACGTTCTCAGCCAGCAGGACTTCGTTGTTCAGTTGACGTAATTTCGCCATCGTTGAACTGACGTCGAAATTCTGACCCGTCCAGACGGGGCCCAGCAAGACGGGCCAGCCGCCCAGCTCGTTCAGCAGGCCCAGCAACGGCTGGGTCCCAGCTGCCTCGATCGCAGCTTTCACATTAAAGCAAAAAATAAAATAGACAGCTAAGTTTAATTTAGTTGATCCAATTGCTGTGATATAAACTTTATTGTTATTTCCACAATGAAGTAAAAGCACTAGAAAGTAATTAAATTACTCAATATTTTCAAAACAATTCATTGGACATTATGTGAGAGAAAATAATGTTTCAGCTTCATGTCTCATTCAAGTGGGTAATGATCCGTCAAGGCCCAGTTAGGGCGGAGTCAAGGCTCAGTCAAGGCCTAGTCAATGCCCAGTTAAGGACCAGTCAAGACCGCGTCACGCTCCAGCAAAACCAAGGCACGACCTAGTCCAACTCAGTCAAGACCAAACCAAAGCCCAGCCAAGACCCAGCCAAGAGCGCGGGACAGTACCTGTATTCATGCAGCCCTTGTAGAGGGTCTTGGCGAGGGTAACGTACGAGGGCTCCGAGGGCAGGCTGGTCTCCTCCAGCAGTGATACCAGCACCGAGTCCAGGTCGTCCCTCAGCCGCTCGAACGTGTTGTCCACAGCCTGATGGTTATTATATTATATTATATTATATTATATTATATTATATTATATTATATTATTTTATATTATATAATCGTGTCGATAATACGACAATCTAATCAAATAATAATAGAAAATATTATGATATCAATATAATTTAACTACGTTAATGCCAAATAAATTATGTTATATGTTATGCAAGTTAATTAACGTTAATATGTTATTATGTTATGTAATTATATTATAAGTATTATATTTAATTCATGAAAACCATGACCTGGTCAGGACGTAGAGTGAACCTGTCAGCCCAGCCACCACACGCGTACTGGTAGAAGTCCTGACAAGGATCCGCTGACTTATCCATCAGCGCTGACATCAACTCCGCTGTACCGAGGACATGTAAGGAAATTAGGTAATATTGATATTAAAATCAAAACTACATTCGCTGACACAAAAAATGAACAGGTCATTTTGTCCAATTAGTGACTCATCCATAACATTTCAATCATCAACACCAAAAAAGAATGGGTAATATTGTTAAAATAGTGACCCACTCAATACATTACGCGCATTAAAAATAAAAATGAAGGATTGAAGGTCTTGAATCGAGGGATGACGAGCGGTCTTGACTGATTGATAAATATGGTAACAGGTTGGTAGTTTGAATGTGGTAGTATTCGCGTGGTAGTTAATAAAACATGGCGGTTTTCGAAGTGGTAATGCAAAAATGGTTATCATCAAGTGGTTGTTCCAAATTGGTAGTGTAGTTGTAGTTTAAACTTGACGTTACCCAAATGGTAGTTCGTACAAGGTTGATTAGTGGTAGTTCAAACACGGTGGCAGCCAAGTGATAGTTTCATTATGTTGCTAGTCAAGTTATAGTTAAAACTTGACTGTATAGCTAAGTAGTAGTTAACACATGGCATGTTAGTGGTCATTCATATATGATGGTTATTTAGTGATACTTTAAACTATTCGATTTGAGTGGTAGTTAGAAATCGCTTGGAATCACGATAGATTAGCAGCACGGATTGGACCAGCTAATATGGTTGAATGTTCATCATTGTACAACCTTTCCGTGAGGATTTGGTGAAAAGGCCATTTGTGCCTAGAGAATAAAATTGGAATTATTAGAACAATCAGTTGAATTTCGAATGATTTGGTAGCCTTCGACCCACCTTTCTGCTTGAGGACGAAACTGTGGTGGTGACTTTGATGTCCGGAGAAGTCTACTTGTGGAATCTTTTTCTTTGTAGTCTCAGAAACTGAAGTTTCGACTTCTTGTGGAGGCATAACAACGGATGGGCCAACGACCGAGAAATCCACCAAATTTGCAACAGACGAGTTTGGTATCGGCAGGAATTTTTCGTCTGTGTCCTCAACGATAGCAGATGAAACAGCATCCACATCCACCGTATCGTCGATACTGGAGTCGATATGCAATGAGCTTGCGATTTCCTGGTAGATTGGGACCCTTTCGTTCAGAAGAGAAGACTCAGTAGAAGTTACGCTATTGAATTCGGCGGTGAAATTGTCAGAATTTATTGCGTTATCTCCAGATGATGACGAGGTTGTCACGTTCCCTTTGTATGGGGAGGAATGGTACGGCATTATGAGGAAGTTCTTTCGGATGTACTTCATCCCCATGTGGGTTATGATTTCCACGGCCTCGTCAGCAGCTTCTGACTCTTCAGATATATTAGCCTTGTTCTGATGTACGTCGTGCACGGTGATATTATTAACATCTGTTATTGCATTCACCATTCCTACGGTTTTCGTTGCAGGAATCAGTAAGTTTGTCGAATTTTTAATTGAAATTCTAGAATTATTGTCTTTTGGACCCGAAACTGCTGGTCGCCTTAGTACATTTGGCCTTAGGTCGTCGCGTTCACTATCGATCCAAGGCTTGCTTACGTCCACGGGTTCACTGCTGTTGAATACATCAATTTTTTCTTTAAAGGGGCTCAACCCTAAAAATTTTGATACAATTTTGATGGAGTCATTTGCTGGTTTGTTTTTCAAGTCTAACTGGGTTCTTGTTTTTCTAGATGAGACGGAAGAGACATTTGTGAGATTATTATTAACATCGCGTAGTGGCCCGCTGGTCTCCTTCCATTTAACGGCTGGAGGAAAACCAAGGTCCGGAGTATCAACTGTCTCATCTCCATCATCGAAATGTTCTGAGTTTATTTGTGAAGAGATGTTCTGAGCTAATATGGCATGATTGTCGGATTTTGAAGCCTTTGCAGAGCGGGGGACCTCTCTTCTGGTCAGATATTTATTAAAGAATAATTTAGGATCTGCCGAGAAGGTTGGCCTTATTTCAACCGATTTAACGGCCATTTTAGCTGACTGCCGTGTTATTCTAGCTTCAGGTATAATAGAGTCATTCGTATTATTTTGGATTTGTTGGAGCTGGCTACTGGCATCAGTAGTTTGATTTATCTCATTTTCACTTGTAGTAATCAAAGTACTGAACGTGTCTGACACAGTGGAGATACCCGCAGGTTTTATGGCAGGGTTCCCAGTCATCGCTGACCGCTCGGTGCCATTATCATTAGAGGCATCATCGGAGGGAATTTCTTCCGAGGGAAAACTATCCGAAGAATTATCATCCGGTGTAATATCATCCGGCAAAATATCATCCAGGAGAATGTCATCCGAGGGAGAATGATCCTCCAACGGAATATATCCAGAGGGAATATCCCCTGTAATTCTGGTGTCAGTTGCAGAATAATTGACAAGTTTAATTGATTCCGAGGAGGATTGTGCTGTCAGTGCCAGCAGCACCGACGCCGCCAGAATTATTGGCAGGAGCTGCAAATTTTTCATGTTGGTAGCCAAGGGCTTGGCACAGGGAAATGACACAGGGAAATATTGTAATTTATGGGGTTATTAAAATTTTGTGATCGAATTGTTTAAGATTAAAGTTAGACAAAAGATTATGATTGTAGACTCCAAGACAATCTAGGGATTAAAAATTGCTTTGTTTAATGTATTGGCAGTGATCCTAATTTTTAGTTCGCAATGTTGATTGGCTGATGAATTAAAAATTGCCCAGTTAATAATCACTTCCCTGCCATCATCATTGTAGGCTCTGGGTATTGCAATAAGTGAACACTGAAAAATGAATAATTCCTGTAAATACCACATATGAATAACCAAACATACCATAATTATAATATTTATAATTACAATCATCTTAAATAAATCATAAATAAATAAATCATAAATAAATAAATCATAAATAAGAAATATATTGGTGCTGTAAGTGCCAGTTGCTACGGGAAGAATTTGTTATTCTCTATAATTACCAATTAATTTATTTTATTTTACTGAAAAGATTTCATGCCGAATATAATTAAAGATAATCACATTTGATGACTCGAAAAATAAGGAAAATAGTGAAAATACCACATATTTTTTATATTTCTAAATAAAAACATCAGCGTATTTTAAAGATAGCAATGCTAACATCTGGCGTGCACAATATCTAATAGTGGCAAACAAACAGTACGATTTATCCCCAACTCTTATTGAGGCGATAGAAATTCCTTACTAATTTCAGTAATACGAACTATAGTGTTCTAAAGACCCCAATTAATAGTTTATCAAGCCGGTTTTCAAAACCATCGTTAGCTCCAACAACCGGACTAAAAAATACCTTCTACTTTTCTGGAAGCAGTCTTCAAAACACGCCAGCAGTTTGCCAAACAAAACTTCAAATGGCCCCCAAAAATCTTCTTAGCAATGCAAGAGACCCTCCTCCCTATAGCCACTCAAACCAATCTCCAGAAGGCCCCCCAAATGTCTTCCAAGCAAGTCTTCAAAAGACCCCGAAACTTTGTATAGTGTTAAGGTCAAGCGACATCTTCGGCCAGCCTATGTTTGCAATGTTTATATCGTCGCTGCAGTCTTGAGCTTCCTCAGTTGTAATAACAAGGGGGGGCTAAAGAATGTGTCGAATAAAATTTAATGTACCAGGCAAGGAGCAACCGATTATTTTTTACGGTCATGTATCATCTCTGCTACTCATTAATGTATATTTTCGTGAATCCAGTGTTGTCAATTCTTAAAAAGATTCCACCAGATATTATGAATTTCTGTGAATGACTGCACGGCAAAAACTTTATATTTTCTTCGTAAATAATTTCATCAAACATAGATTTCTCTCAAAATCTAGTATAAAATAATATCAATCGGAAAATGTCGCGATCATCCCTGCTCCAAACGTCTAAACTTTCTCCGTTAACAAACACGTTGAAAAATGTTCTCGTCATTTCTGTTCTCGTCATCGCCGGAACCTTTCTTTCGTGTCCTTATGCCAGGTTGGACGTCTCATTAAGAACTCGGCGAAGTTGTCGCAAACTTATATCTAACTCAAGTTTACCTCGAAGTTATGCAGAGCCTGATTTTCTTTTACGTCTCCAGCGATATGCATGTCACGCTGTTACATTTGTCATGTTGCTTGATTTCGCTCGACAACATAGGCTACTACTTCTCATCACTCTCCAAGAAATTGTAATTTTCGAGAAGTTGGATTTTTTTTAGGATTCTTAGAGAAATTTGATTATTCGATGAGTTGGATTATTCTTTTTAGGATTATCTGAAACTTTTAATTTTTTATTGGGATTATCTAAGAAGTAGAATTTTTCTGCCCAGGATTCTCAGAGAAGTTCTATTTTTCTTCATTTAATATTTTGAGAAGTAAGATTCATTTTAGGTTTCTTAGACAAGCAGGCATCTTTTCCTGAGGATTCCTTAAGAAGTAATATTCTTCAGAGATCTCTGGGAGAAGTAGGATTCTTATTCTTGAGATTCCTTGAGAAAAAGAATTCTTCTTCATTGGATACTTCGGGAAGAAGGATTTTCCTAGAAGAAGTCCTGATGTTAAGCTTCTTTTAGTTTTAGCAGCGAAGAGCCGCGAAACCCACGGTGTTGTGCGATAAGTGAGCCCCAAGATTCGAAAGTTCCGTATACGAAAATCCGCTGCATCGGATACCGTAACCCGAATCCCACTGCATCAAATACCGTAACCCCCATTCAGTTATATCTTATCCCGAATCACGAATCGCGTCATATGAAAATCCGAATATCGAATTCCGTTGTTTCAAATCCTCTGTATCGAAACCCGATGTTACTTTTACAAAATTTTCACAGTTCGCCCCTCTCCCAAAAGTCCGTTTATAATTTTTTGCGTTTATTGGAACCCAAAAAGCTTTAATTATCGAAATTAAAATTTACTTTAAATGACTGAGCGCTCATAATATCCAACGCAATTGGCTAATATCGGGCATTAACTGGTCATTAATTGGTGGACAATGACGCCGGCATTCGCAGCCTAAACTCCTGTCACATGCAGAGACTTTGAATCCATATGATATTATTGAAGCGATGCTATGTTTAACATCATTCGATGCTCTCGCATTCATGCATACTGAATATGTCTGCTAATGCTTGTAATGGTTGCTTATGTTTGTGGTGGTGTTTGATCATGTTTATGGTAATGTTTGATTATGTTTATGGTAGTGTTTGCTTATGTTTATGGTAGTGTTTGGTTATGTTTATGGTAGTGTTTGGTTATATTTATGGTAGTGTTTGGTTATGTGTATGGTAATGTTTTATTGTGTTTATGGTAGTGTTTGGTTATGTTTATGGTAGTGTTTGGTTATGTTTATGGTAGTGTTTGGTTATGTTTATGGCAGTGTTTGCAAATGTTTATGGTAGTGTTTGTTTATGTTTATAACAGTGTTTGCTTATGTTTATGGCGGTGTTTGCATATTTTTGTGGAAGTGTTTGTTTATGTTAATGGCAGTGTTTGCATATGTTTATGGCAGTGTTTGCGCATACTTATGGCAGTGTTTTCATAGGTTTATGGCAGTAATAGCTTATGTTTATGGCAGTGTTTGCATATGTTTATGGCAGTGCTTGCATATGTTTATGGCAGTGTTTGCATATGTTTATGGTAGTGTTTGCACATATTTATGGCAGTGTTTGCATAGGTTTATGGCAATGTTTGCATATGTTTATGGCAGTGTTTGCTTATGTTTATGACAGTGTTTGCATATGTTTATGGCAGTGCTTGCATATGTTTATGGCAGTGCTTGCATATGTTTATGGCAGTGTTTGCATATGTTTATGGCAGTGTTTGCATATGTTTATGGTAGTGTTTGCTTATGTTTATGATAGTGTTTGCTTATGTTTATGGGTTTATGGTAGTGTTTGGTTATGTTTATGGCAGTGTTTGCTAATGTTTCTTGCCGTTACTGCTTGTGTTTGTAACGTGTGCGTACGTTAAAACGTCTTATGTCTGCTTACGCTTGCAATGTTTGCTAATATATACAGTGTACTGATAAAGCTCTTGTCTGTTGTTGTTATTGGTTTTGATGCGGTGTCCGTAGGATTCTGCGTTCCATGTTTCCTAAAACATTAATTTATTTATAAAATTTTTTATTGGCATCTGCAAATTCAAAAGGCAGATCTAATTTCGCATGGCTGAAACGGAATGATGAACACTGAAATCTGAATTTCTTATCGAATTCAACGTTTTTCTCTGGAGCATAATAAACAATAGAAGCCAGAGGCTATCTATTGCTGAAAAAAGGGTGTATGGAATAAAAAATGGTAAAAAAGCGAAAATTCCGTAAAAGTTTATAAAATTGATAAAGGTTTGGGTCGTTGAACGCAGACCAGCGAGCATCCATCTAAAGCCGTCAGCAGCAGCTCCCTTGAGAGTTAAGAGCGGCTGAGAGGTGGCTTATGAGTGGCTTAGGGGTGGCTTATGAGTGGCTTAGATGTGGCTGAGAGGTGGCTTATGAGTGGCTTAGGGGTGGCTTATGAGTGGCTTAGAGGTGGCTGAGAGGTGGCTTATGAGTGGCTTAAATGTGGCTTAGGAGCGGCTTAGGGGTGGTCTACGGGCAGCTTAAGAGTGGCTTATGGGCGCCTTTAGGGCGACTTAAAGGCAACTTATGAATGATTTAAGGGCGGCTCAAAGAAACTTAGCTGTGGCCTGCTTAGGCGTGGCTTTCTCAGGGCAGCTTAGAGGCGACTTAAGGGTGCATTAAGGAGGTTTAGAGGTGACTTAGGACGCCTAATATAGAGGCTTAGGTGTGGCTTGGAGGTGGCTTAGGGGCAACTTAGTGCTGGCTTTTGGGAATTCAGGAGCAGATTGATACTGTCCTAATTTTAGCTTAGTAGTGACTTAGGAGTGCGCGAGAGAAGCTTTTGGCTCGTCAAGTGTGGCTCAAAATTAGCACACATTTAATCGTGTCCACAATTCAGTCATCACCTGCATTCAAAACTAAAAATTTAACCTTACTGGTACTGATTCCTATTCATTCCCACTTCAGACAAATTTTTAATCAAATTCTCCTACATTTTCCTGATTTCCCAATATTGACTTTCAATTCTTCCCACTATTTCCCTACTCCTTCCATTTAACTTTATATGCGGGATAAACCTAAACAACAACAATACCACTTAACTACTATACGGGAGACACTCACTACAACATAAATACTTCGCTTAATTTAGAAAAATAATTCATTAAATTTAGACTCAAAATTTATCAAATTTAGACCAACGATTTCTCTTAACAGGAAACTCACTAATCCTCTTTAATTTCAATCCGATTTCTTCCTCCCTCCTCACATTTTTCCCTTCCCGTTTTGACAATATTTTACTCATATTGTACCTATATTTTCAACGATTTGAGTTTTCACTTTCCCTTACTTTGGGGCATCCTTTTCATCAGCATAGATCGACATTTCCCCTCATTTTGGAAATTCATATTCATCAGTTCAAACTAACGTTTTTCCTCAAATTAAACCAACACATTCATAAATTCGCACCCTTATCTTCCCTTGCATCGGACAATCATTTTCAGCAATTAAACCCGAAAATTTTCCCTCACCATAGACCCTCATTTTCATTTATTCAAAACAGCATTTACCCTCATGTTGCATCCACCTTTTTCCTCACTTTGCAACCTTATCTTCATTTATTCAAAACAACATTTTCCCTCATATTGCACCCACCTTTTCCCTCACTTTAGTCCATCATCTTCATTTCTTCAAAACAACACTTTCCCTCGTCTTGCACACAACCTTTTTCCTCACTTTGGACCCTCATCTTCATTTACCTAAAACAACATTTTCCCTCATCTTGCACCCACCTTTTCCCTCACTTTGAACACTCATCATCATTTACCTATAACAACATTTTCCCTCATCTTGCACCCGCCTTTCCCCTCACTTTATCCTCATTTTCATCAATTCAAGCCCACATTTCCCCGCACCGGACACTCTTCCCCTCCAGCTTTTAGTGCCCCCGGTCTGGTCGTCCGTGTCGCATTTTTCAGACGTCGGCAGTGAAGCGGAAACCTCGACGACCGGGCGACCCAAGTTGTGAATCGTAGTAAAGTTGTCCCGACGATACAAAGTTGTCCGGCAGTCGGAAAGTTGGGAATAAGGCGTAAAGTATTCCGGATGAAAAAAGAATATCAAGACGCAGTAATGTAATCTGGTTGCAAGAAATTTTTGAATCAGGCGTAAGGTTACGTCGTCGCGATAAAGTTGTCCGACTGCCACAAAGTTGTTGATCCGACGTAGAGTTGTCCCGACGCGATAAAGTTGTCCGAAAATGCTGTAAATCCGACGTTAAGTACACCCGTCAAATGTAGCTAATCCCCAAGCATGATACAAATACCATCCAAAACTTCGATGAAATCAACTCAGACTAAATTAAAAATAAACTGTAACTTAAGCAGCTTATAAAATCACAAATGCAAGCCATGTCAACGATTTCGAAGAGTAGGTATCTCGGCAGGGCTTTCTTGCAAATGTTAGTCCACAAGAGAGTTGGCAGCCGATTTTGTCAATAAAGCAGAACGTCATCAACAGGCTCTGTTGATGAACTAACTGTTGATTTAAAGTTGATAACTGTTATTCATTATCTGTTGAATCAATGATAATTACAGTGGGGGGAAATAAATATTCGTACACTTGAAAAATCGTATTTTAATGTATGTAAGTACACAAACTGAACAGGAGAAGTAATTTATATTATGTATTAAAAGTCTGTTGAATCAATGGTAATTACTAAAAGTCTGTTGAATCATCGATAATTAATAAAGTCTTTTGAATAAGTGATAATTATTAAAAGTATATTGAATCAATGATAATTATTAAAAGTCTCTGTTGTTTGTCTGCTTGGAAATTTGTCGATGCATGTCATTAACATCCATCTTACGAATTATAGATTTACTGATAATCAAGTCAGCTGTTAATAACAGTATAATATTACAGGATTTAATGCATATTGTGATAATTTATACAGTATGCTTAGAGTGCCACACGAAGCTCAGACTTAAAGTGCCTCATGAGACTTGGGCTTAGAGTGCCTCATGAGGCCCAGACTTAGAGTGCCTCATGAGGCTCAAGCTTAGAAGGCCCCACGAGGCTCAAGCTTAGAGAGTCTCACTAGGTTCCGGCTTAGTGTGCCTCACGAGGCCCGGAGAGGATATTCAGCCTCTCGAGGTTCAGAGAGGCTATTCAGCCTCTCGAGGCTCAGAGAGGATATTCAGCCACTCGAGGCTCAGAGAGGCTATTCAGCCTCTCGAGGTTCAGAGAGGCTATTCAGCCTCTCGAGGCTCAGAGAGGCTATTCAGCCTCTCGAGGCTCAGAGAGGATATTCAGCCACTCGAGGCTGGCACGTTGAGTGGCCTCTTAAAACTTCCCCACGCCTCCTGACGGCAGAGTGTCCTGATGTTGCTGCACCACAACTTAATCCCCTTTGTCCCCCGGCAGGGGGAAGGGGCTTCTTACGAGGGTAAGGGGATCTGAGGGTTCCCTAAGAGGGGAAGACTACGCAAAAAGGGAAAATCTCCCCCGCTGGGAAGGGGGGCTGCTCCAAAATTTGAAAGGGCTCCAAATTTGGAGACTTTTCGATTGGCCCTCTAATGAGGGAGAGCTCCCTAATGAGGGAGAGCCTCCTAATGAGGAAGAGCTCCCTAAAGAGGGAGAGCCTCCTAATGAAGGATAGCCTCCTAATAAGGGAGAGCTCCCTAAAGAGGGAGAGCCTCCTAATGAGGGAGAGCCTCCTAATAAGGGAGAGCTCCCTAATGAGGGAGAGCTCCCTAATGAGGGAGGGCTCCCTAATGAGGGAGAGCCTCCCAATGATGGAGAGCTCCCTAATGAGGGAGAGCCCCCTAATGAGGGAGAGCTCCCTAATGAGGGAGAGCCTCCTAATGAGGAAAAACTCCCTAATGAGGGAGAGCTCCCTAATGAGGGAGAGCTCCCTAATGAGGGAGAGCCCCCTAATGAGGGAGAGCTCCCTAATGAGGGAGAGCCTCCTAATGAGGAAAAACTCCCTAATGAGGGAGAGCTCCCTAATGAGGGAGAGCTCCCTAATGAGGGAGAGCTCCCTAATGAGGGAGAGCTCCCTAATGAGGGAGAGCTCCCTAATGAGGATGGGCTCCCTAATGAGGGAGAGATCCCTAATGAAGGAGATGGCTCCCTGGAATAAGGACTATTCTTCCCCAAATTCTTCCACGTCTTTTCGCCTTCTTTTGAGGAGCACTTTTGCACTCTTCTTCCTCATCCTCTCTCCTCACGGGGCTCCCTCTCCTCCCCCTCTTTCTTTCCTCCTACTCTCCTTCCCATCTTCTACATCTCCCCCTCTACAACTCCTCCCCTCATCTCTCGTCCCCCCCTTTCCACCACATTCTCCTTTCCCTCTTCGCCATCTCTTCAATGTCTCCCCTGCTTCAATTCCTCACTTCTTCCTTCCTTCCCTTCTTCCCTCTTTTTCCCCTCCTCTCCTTCCCCATTTCCTCCTCTTCCTCTCCCTCTCTTCCCCTTCTCTTCTTCCCACTCTTCCCCTCCTCAGCGGCAGACGGCAACATTGAAATTCACTTCCCAGCGACTTCTTCCAGCGTTTGAGGCACCGCAATATATTGCATTGCAAAATATTTCGCATTAGAAAATATTTTTAATTGGAAATATTTTGCGTTGGAAAATATTTTTCATTGGAAAATATTTTGCGTTGGAAAGGGTTTCGAATTGGAAAATATTTTGCGTTTGAAAGGGTTTTGAATTGGAAATATTTTGCGTTGAAAAGGGTTTTGAATTGGAAAATATTTTGCGTTGGAAAGGGTTTTAAATTGGAAAATATTTTGCGTTGGAAAGGGTTTCGAATTGGAAAATATTTTGCGTTTGAAAGGGTTTTGAATTGGAAATATTTTGCGTTGGAAAGGGTTTTGAATTGGAAAATATTTTGCGTTGGAAAGGGTTTTAAATTGGAAAATATTTTGCGTTGAAAAGGGTTTTGAATTGGAAAATATTTTTAGCTCTAGGAGGTCCGGGAGCTCTAGGAGGTCCGGGAGCTCTAGGAGGTCCGGGAGCTCTAGGAGGTCCGGGAGCTCTAGGAGGTCCGGGAGCTCAATGAGGTCCGGGAGCTCTAGAAGGCCCAGGGGCTCTAGGAGGCCCAGGAACTCTAGGTGGTCCGAGAGCTATAGGAGGCCCAGGAGCTCTAAGAGGCCCGGGAGCTCTATGAGGTCCGGGAGCTCTAGGAGGCCCGGGAGCTCTAGGAGGCCCGGGAGCTCTAGGAGGCCCGGGAGCTCGAGGAGGCCCGGGAGCTCTAGGAGGCCCAGGAGCTCTAGGAGGTCCGGGTGCTCTAGGAGGTCCGGGTGCTCTAGAAGTCTCATTCCTCTAGAAGGCCCTCAGCTCTATGAGTCTTGCGGCTTTGTATTCGGAAGCATTATTGTGACGCGCGTCAGCCTACAATGAGAAATGCATTCTCTGCTTCCCTTAATTAAAATATAAATAGTCACAAAATGGCACTCACTGCATAATTTTTAGATAAATTTAATTGTTTCGGTATAAAACTTACTTCAAATTAACCGGCTCGGAAATTGACGCACACAAGAGCGGCGTTATCAGAGCGACACCTCACACAACCTGCCTTCACGAGCGCTCCCACGCAACTAACGCGAGATTGCCAGAGATCCTGAATGCCCGGCCGGCGGCTGACTGAGACTGCCAGAGATCATGACTGCCCGGCCGGCGACTGACGGAGAATGTCAAGGAACATGACTGTCCGGCCGGCGACTCGTGTGAGACTGCCAGAGATCATGACTGCCCGGCCGGCGACTGACGGAGAATGTCAGAGATCACGACTGCCCGGCCGGCGACTGACTGAGACTGCCAGAGATCACGACGCCCGACCAGCGACTGACTGAGACTGCCAGAGATCACGACTGCCAGTAAGCGACTGTCCTGTCATCCCTGCTTTTATTCGCCCAATCGCCGTCCCCGACCGTCCATCAGACGCCGGGCTGCCGCTTATCGCTCGACCAGCGAAGGCTGGTCAGGATTTTCTGTCGCATATACTTTAAGCCTCAGGCCTACACAGCAGCTGCAACATCAGGTGCAGCGAGTGCAGCTGCACCTGTACAGTAGCTACAGATGTAGCTGTACAGTAGCTACATCTGCACTTGTACAGTAGCCACAGCTGTAGCTGTACAGTAGTTACATCTGCATTTGTACAGTAGCCACAGCTGTAGCTGTGCAGTAGCTACATCTGCACTTGTACAGTAGCTACAGCTGTAGCTGTACAGTAGCTACATCTGCAATTAAACAGTAGCTACAGCTGCACTTGTAGAGTAGCTACAGCTGCACCTGTACAGTAGCTACAGCTGCACTTGTAGAGTAGCTACAGCTGCACTTGTAGAGTAGCTACAGCTGCACCTGTACAGTAGCTACAGCTGCACCTGTACAGTAGCTACAGCTGCACCTGTACAGTAGCTACAGCTGCACCTGGACAGTAGCTACAGCTGCACCTGCACAGTAGCTACAGCTGTAACGAATTACAGCTGTAAAGTGTCCGTATATTAGAACTAAAAAAGGCTCTAGTGCCATCAATGTCATCAAGCAAAAACATTTTCGGCCTTAACTAAAAGAATTTCATGACTTGAACATTCTGCTTATATAATGTTGATCAAAACATCTGATGTAATCTATTCTTAAAATTTAGTAGATTAAATAATGAATACTCTTTTTAATAGGGCCTGGGTGTGTAATTTTGTTTAATTCTATTCGTTTGATTATGTTCTTTGTTTACTTGTTTAGAATAGCAGTTAATTTGTATAGAATATTTGTATATTTTTCTATAATATTTGTCCTGAATATTGTATAATTGTATAAATATTTTTATGTTTGTCTAAAATATTTGTATAAATGTCTAGAATATTTGTATAAAAAATTTGTATTTGTGCCTAAAATATTTGTATATTTGTCTAGAATACGTGTATAAAAAATTTGTATTTTTGTCTTAAATATTTGTATATTTGTCTAGAATATTTGTATGTTTTTCTAAAATATTTGTATACTTGTCTAAAATATTTGCATATTTTTCTAAAATGTCTGTATATTTGTCTAAAATATATGTATATTTGTCTAGAATATTTGTATGTTTGTCTAAAATATTCGCATATTTGTCTAAAATGTCTGTATATTTGTATGAAATATTTGTATATTTGCCTAAAATATTCGTATTTTGTCTAAAATATTTGTATATATGTCTGGAATATTTGCATATTTGTCTGAAATATTTGTATATTTATTTAGAATATTTGTATATTTGTTATATATTGGTATATTTATCTAGAACATTTGTATATTTGTTTAAAATATTTGTATAATTGTCTAGAAAATTCTTGTATACATGTTCATACTGTTTGTTTACATTATTTGGTGGCGACAGCGTGGGCGGCTGCATGGAACAACGGCGGCGACCTCTTGGCGTGCCTCCAGGACGCTGCCTGACCTGCTGACCTAAAACAGCTGCAGTACAGCTGCTGGGACGGCAGATGTACTGCAGCTGCAGCTTACTTATTTACAGCCGCTGCTACAACATTTCTTACTTATTTAATGCAGTTGCTACAATGACGCTTACTGATGTACTGCAGCTGATACAATAACGTTTACTTATTTAATGCAGCTGCTACAATAACGTTTACTTATTTAATGCAGCTGCTACAATAACGTTTACTTATTTACTACCTTTGCTACAATAATGCTTACTTATTTAATGCAGCTGCTACAATAACGCTTACTTATTTACTGCAGCTGCTACAATAACGTTCACTTATTTACTACCTTTGCTACAATAATGCTTACTTATTTACTGCAGCTGCTACAATAACGCTTACTTATTTACTGCAGCTGCTACAATAANCTATAATGTACCTGTCTCTTATACACATGAAGATGTGTATAAGAGACAGCTTATTTAGTGCTGCTGCTACAATAACGCTAACTTATTGACTGCAGCTGCTACAATAACGCTTACTTATTTACTGCAGCTGCTACAATAAGGCTTACTTTTTTCACCTGCTCAGATGATGCCGTTTTATTTAATTTCTGCGCAAGTGTAAATAAAAGAAGTTAATTAAATCTGAGAACCTTTATTTATCGCCAAACGAAGTGGGTGAAAGTGGCCAGTTAGAGACCAGATAACAGTAGTAGTGGTGTGCACTGCAGGGAAAATTGGCTGTTATCAGTAAAAGAACATGATTTAAGGAGGGAATATAACAATATTTAATTCAAAGGAATAAGTTACTGTGACGCAAGTTATATGTCTCTCTCTTTCCATCCTCACCAAATAATTGCCGATTGCAGAATAAAATAATCTAGTGGCATGTAACAAATGAAGAAGCAAGCTGAGGTCAAGTTGCGCGATACGGAGGTTGGGTGGATTCTTATCTGGATAATGGAGATAAGAAGTTAGAACCAATCTTCAAAATAAATTCAAAATGTAACTCAGTTTGTTTTAGTTTGTTTAGACCAAATAAATTGCGAACAACAATAATTGCAAAATGACCCAATTAACTAACCTATTTGTTTCCGTTGAGGAATTCTAGACAAGTTTTCTCCTGTAGAGACGCGAACTATGAGAATAAAAATAGAGTAAACAGTAATAGAAGTGTTCGCTCGTACTTAAATTGAGTTAAGCGCATGCAAGCATGCAAGTCAATTCACAGCACTAAAGCCACTTAAAACTAGGGTTTTTACTCGGAAGCTCAAATGAGCCACTAACCCAACGGGTTTCAACATCTGACGTGAAGCCAGTTAAGTAAGATCTTAAACGAGCGAACACAGAAGTCCTAACATGCATTTACATCTAACAAAACAAAATGAAAACATACTCGCAGATATTCCAAGACTTTCCGGAAATTTTTTCGCATATTCTGGACGATTTAATTTCAACGATTTTTCAAGTTCGTCGTATAATTTAAATGATTTACGGTAGCTTTTTTAACCCTCTGCTGCCTGAATGAGTAACCGGAGCAATATTGTCACAAGCCTACTTCCCAAAAAGGATACGTTCTAGTGAGCGCAAAATGACTTGCACTGATGGTTGCCGCCACGTACGACAACTTTAAAATGTTCTCTGTTGCGTACAAACGACCTCAGGTTGCTACACTCAAAAGTTTACGAATAATATAGTTGATAGTTATGTTCCTGGAGAGTGACATACGGTGGTAGAGGGTTAAGACGACGTCTCAACTTTTTTTCCGTCAAACAGAATTTTACGTCAATGAAAAGAACGATCTTATCGTGGACGTACACTCAGAGAATTTGAAGAGACTTTGTATAAATTGTAATGCAATATTTGTGGTAATCTTGACCCAGTTATTATTGCTAAGCTTAACAAGTGTGTCACTATTTGGGCAATTTGACCATCAATTTTAGAGTTTACGGGACGTGTTGACATCTCGCCGGCTGTTGGAAACAGTGGGAAAAATACCCGTACGGAAATTCAAGTGCAGTTATACAAAATTTAATAGTATTTCAAATCACATTCAAATCAATAACAATGATAAATCCAATTTAATTCACCTATTCAAGTCAACAATAATAATAAAAATAATAATAATAATAATAATAATATTAATAATAATAATAATAATAATTATAATAATAATAAGAATAATAATAATAAATCGTGTTCAGGTAATTTATCACAATAATAATAACAATAAATCATATTCAAGTCAATGACGGTGAAAATACATGCCCGCTTTTGGCTCGCCTTTAATTTCTGAAAATGTAGTTGGAAAAAGAAATTTGAAGTAAAATGAAATTAGCTACGGTCGATTAATGGACGATGGTCGATTTAGCTGACGTCAGCATCGAGCAACACGACCACCTCCAGCGGTCGCCGATTAATTGCATTCTTTTTAAACTGCAAAAAGTTTGCCTTTTACAATTCAAGTTTGAAGGCCTGATCGAGACGTTGCTATTAAAAACTAAGTTAAAAATTATCGTTATATTTTAATCAATAAAAATTTTGGTATTACTCGAAAAATTTTTTGAAGAATAGCATAGAATATACAGAATAGAGGAATAAAAATTCTGGTTATTCCATGTTTAATTGGTTCCTGGATATTAGTTGAGTGCTTGTTGATTCATAAAATAATATATTATGTGTTAGTGTTGTGTTGTTAGGCAGAAGTTCTTCAGTTATGCAGGTCTAATTGGAGACCAGAGTATGCCTTTTATTAACAATTTTCTTATTTTTTTCAATAGGCCGAACGAAATTTCTTGCGAGTGCTTGGAGATCAAAAAGCAGATTACCAAATGACATTTTACTGAAATACGACGTTTAGAATATTCAATATTCATCATCAAGCAGGTGAAGAGTTATTACAACGCTTAAAATTGAAATTTGGAAATTATATAAGTATATACAACAAGTATCTCAGATACGGATCAAAATCGAATACATGTTATATATATTCACATATATTATTAATACATATGAGCATTAATGAGCCTATTTATATAATAGTTCACTTATGCCGTAGCTTACTGGCAGTATGAATTTCTATCGGGATGAAAGTAACCACAATATCTCTGGCTATATTTAGCGGAGATTTACTCACTATTCCGCTCGAGATTTAAAAGAAGATATTTTTCAGTCAATTATAATTATTTGTCCAATTAATCCAATCGAAATCTATAAGATTTTGCCTCCGTCCACGGTATACGTATGTTGGGTTATATATATATTATGACACACTATCTGTTATAATATGGTACATATATATTATGATATATTATCCTGAGCTAGTGTGGTTAATTCAGTTAAGTTAGACATAAGATTTGACTGTGTTTTGAAAATGAATTTTGCTCTGAAATTCGTGAGTCCAGGAAGCTTCCTTCATGATGAATCAAAGTGATTTTATATTGTTATTTCAACAATTTTACTGCTAAATAATATTTTATCAATTCTGCTTATATTTAATTACTACATAGATTACGACACATATATTGGACCTTCCAACAGTCGACCACAATTTTATCGCCGTTAAAAGATGTCCCCAATTATGTAAGATAATTAAGGATTAATAGTAATCTTACCGGCCATTCAAAAGCCCTGGATTTGTCTACCCTAATTTAAAAATATGTTCGAGGCTCGAGCGCTCGTTAGCGCCTGCCACTTAGCAGGGCAATTTACGATGACCAGCTTCCTTAGAGGGGAATTACTGCACCAAAAATTATACGGGAGCCATTAGGCCTGTGGCCGCAGCTGCCTCATGAGGCCATGTTGACGATGAGGAGGACTACGTTGACGGTAAGGAGGCCCACGTTGCCACTAAGGAGGCCTATGTTGACGGTAAGTAGGCCCACGTTGCCACCTAGAAGGCCTAAGTTAAGGGTAAGGAGGCCTACGTTGCCACTAAGGAGGCCTATGTTGACGGTAAAGAGGCCAAAGTTGCCACCTTGAAGGCCTATGTTAAGGGCAAGGAGGCCTGCGCTGCCACTAAGGAGGCCTATGTTGACGGTAAAGAGGCCAACGTTGCCACCTAGAAGGCCTATGTTAAGGCTAAGGAGGCTTTTGTTGACTATGAGAAGGCCTAAGCTGCACACGCTGATTGTTTCCTTGGAAATTGTGTTCCCCATTTATCATGTGCAATGCATGCTATCGCCAAATGGCCTGCAATGACAATCCTATGATATCGGGCTGATAAGCTTGTCACAAGCAGCTCTAATTCAAAGATAAGATAGGATAAAAATTCCGAGATAATAAGCGGCTATAACGATTAATGAATTATTCGAATGTATGTAGTAAAAAGAAAAGGAGTCGTGCACTTATTAATCATTTATATTTCATAATGTAACAAAATATGTATATGCAAAATTCATATTGTGTGATAACTATCGAAAATATAATTTGTTTGAAAACATCAATTATTGCGTACAAATAAGCTAATGGTAAAATTATGTTCCTAATTAGAGAAAGGTACTTAGAGGTTATGATTTAGTTAATCAAGATAATAATTACAACCTCAGGTAAACATATATAATCGAATTAAATTACATTTACGACTGTAATAATATAATTTGTTGTCACCGTGAAACCAATTAAAATTCGCAATTTTTATTTATATTCTATGTTAAATTAAAACTACTGACGGAATAGTAGCAGAGCCGAAATTATTCGTAATCAAATTTATTAGTTAAAATAATAATCATGGGCGGCACATCAGCGGCCATCGATTCCTATATAGCCTAAGAATTTCTCGAGAATTTCAGTGTGTATTTTAATGAACGGTTTTGAACCTTGGTATCACTTTATACTTTCCCGAGTCCTTCACTTTAAACTACCACCTCTCGCTTCACCACTCAATTTCACATTAATTATATAACTTGCTTCACCGTTCCCAAAAACCACTAACTTCACCACTTATATGCGGAAGCTCACTTCACCAAAAACATTAATATTCACATCGCAACTCATTTTACCCCTCATTTTACCTACCATTTTATCACTAACTTAATTAATCATCCATCAAACACCACTTTTCCAATACTTTCAGCACACAATTTAATAACTAATTTATCATTCACCTTAATTACTACTAACTTGATCACTAGCTTTAATACTCAGGGTATCGCCAACTTACTTAGTTGGTGATACCTTGACACTACCGTTCCCTTCACTTACTCTACCACCTCTTTCATGTACTCCACCACCTCCATCACTCACTCTATCACCTCTTTCATGTACTCCACCACCTCCATCACTTACTCTACCACCTCTTTCATGTACTCCACCACCTCCATCACTCACTTTATCACCCCTTTACTTACTCTACCGCCTCTTTCATGTACTCCACCACCTCCATCACTCACTTTATCACCCCTTCACTTACTCTACCGCCTCTTTCATGTACTCCACCACCTCCATCACTTACTTTATCACCTATTGCATGTACTCCATCACTCACTTTATCACCCCTTCACTTACTCTACCACCTCTTTCATGTACTCCACCACCTCCATCACTTACTCTACCACCTCTTTCATGTACTCCACCACCTCCATCACTCACTCTATCACCCCCTTCACTTACTCTACCGCCCCCTTCTTCTCTAACTACTGCCCCCTTCTTCGTACTATTTTCCTCCGGCTCTATCACTGGTGATGAAGGCAATGGTGATGTTACACCTGGGACTCTCATTCTACACCTCACTCTATACCACACCCTACATCACATCCGACGTCACGCTTTGAAAGAGGAGGGTGATGTTGCGGTAGAGGCTCTCAATCTATACCACACTCTGCATTACACTCATCACACTACAGAAGGCGATGGTAATGTTACGGTCGAGGCTCTCACTCTTCACCACACTCTGCATCACACTCTACACTTCAGAAGGCGATGGTCATGTTGCGCTTAGGACTCTCAGTCTACACCACACTCTACATCACACTCGTTACACTTCAGAAGGCGATGGTCATGTTGCGCTTAGGACTCTCAGTCTACACCACACTCTACATCGCACTCGTTACACTTTAGAAGGTGATGGTCATGTTACGCTTAGGACTCTCACTCTACACCACACTCTACACCACACTCGTCACACTTCAGAAGGCGATGGTGATGTTGCGGTCGAGGCCTTCACTCTACACCACACTTTACACCACACTTTACACCACACTTTACACCACACTCATTACACTTCTGAAGGCGATGGTGATGTTGCGGTCGAGGCTCACACTCTACACCACACTTTTCACCACACTCTACACCACACTCTACACCACACTCGTCACACTTCAGAAGGCGATGGTGATGTTGCGGTCGAGGCTCTCACTCTACACCACACTTCACACCACACTCTACATCACACTCATCACACTTCAGAAGGCGATGGTCATGTGGCGCTTAGGACTCTTAAGGACGGTTGGGTTGAAGTAGAAGGCTTTGTCCAGGCCGTTGTTGACGCGCTCAACCACCGCGTGGCGGTGGCTGGCTAGAGGGTTGTCCTTTGAGATCTCCTGCTGCATCCACTTCGATACCTTCATATATAATGAAATAATATTATAAAATATGATGTAATATAATATGATATATGTAATATTAATATAATATAAATTAGTTTGTGTCAAGGTGGAAGTTAGGTATCAACACGTTGTCACGGGAGCCGAGGCATCAACATATGAGACATTACTTTGGCCTGGAGGTTGTACTCCTACCAGTTGAGTATAACAACTGAAGAAATAGCTATGAATAACTACTTCAAATAACATAAAAAGATAACTATTATCCCTCGAACTGATGAACCTTATCCCTCACCCGGAATACGAGCCACTCGCGGTCCTTATGATATTCAACCGACAACATCTAAGTAAAACAACTGAAGACAAGAACTAAGTACATGAACTAAGTATAAGAACTAAGTACAAGAACTAAGTATAAGAACTAAGTACAAGAACTAACCCGTCTAACGAGCCCCTCGATGTCCTCATGGTATGCGTGCTTGGCGAAGACCTGGCAGATGGCCTGCACCAGCAACGACCCTTTGCGGGGATGGCGGTATGCAACACCCCCAGAGTTGGTCGAGAAGATCGAGTACATGTCAGAGTAGTCGGGGCTCGGGGCGTCACAGCCGTCTGTGTCTTGCGCTTCGGCGTCAGGCATGAGCTCGCTGTCGTTCTCGTCTGGGTAGGGGAGCGTGAAGTGCAGGGTATGAGAGGAAATGAGTAACATGAGGAAATGGGAATTTGGGGAGGGGAAGCAATTGTGAATACACGGGGAATTAAGAAATGCTGAATGTGAGGACGCGAAGAATGTAAGGGCACGTGGATAAGAGGAGGAAGAGAATATGAAGAAGGTGGGATATGAGGAAGAGGGGAATATGAGGACATCATATTCTGTATTTCATGGACAAAGCACATGATTTTTACTTACTACGCAATAGAATTCATATTTTATTATAATTTCTCAACAATTTTCTTTGGACTTCCACTTTCCCAAAAAGGACCTTGAAGAAGTTCAAATGGTTCACATTAGTCACAATCAACAAATAACTGTTCTCAATGATGCTTCACTCACCGAAAGGGAAAACAGTGTGCTCATGTCTGTGTTCGTAAGAGACCAGATTGGGCGAGCTCAAGTAGTCTAGAGAATAATTTCTGCGACGCTGCAGGGGCGTAGCAGGATAGTACGCAGGACTGGCAGGAAACTCAGGACTCTCTGATAGTGCAGGACTGGTGGAGAGACCAGGGGTACGTTCAGGTGAAAGTTCCCTGATCGTTGGTACTTTGTACTGGTGGGAATGGTGTTCTTCTGGGTCCTGGTGTTCCTTGTGGGTAATGAGTTCACCCGGAATTTGGGGTTCTTTCTGAACTGCAAGCAAGGTTCCCGAGTGCTCAGCGAACATTGCCGAGAACTCCTTCCTCAGCTGCTCTGCCATTTTATACACAGCCGCATTTATTTTAAGTTCAATGAACTCTTCGGTGGCACTCGGCGATAAGTACGACACGCCGGTTTTCGTACGAACTTGGTTTACTGACTTGCTCTGAGGTCGGCAGAACTGGAGGATGAATATTTTTGGCTTGTTGCGAAGGTGTTGACAGTTGGTGTTGTTAAGCATAGAGTAAACATCCATTAAATCCACGAATTCTCCATCAGAACACACAAACGTCTTATCATGCACGCCATGACTCATCAAAATAAAAATGCAAGAGTCATAAGCCCTGTGGTCAAGCTTACTGAACGCTTCCAAGTCTTCCATAAGTTTCTTCTTAGTAATATGGCCGGTTTCGCAATACTTTTGGCTTTTGCGATAACCCATTTGCTGGAAAAGATCTAGCAGGTTCGCATAGTCCACTTTGGAACCTTGTCTCAGACTGTACTTGTTGTCGTCGAATTCTTCGATGTTCTTCATGAAGATCAACCCTCTTGGTTTGGACTCGTTTTTATAGGCCCCGTCTGCAGGACCATGAACTCTCTCGTAGGTGACGGTGAAATTCTTCTGCTCGGGTGCACTCGTCCGACGTGTTGCAGATGATCGGCGGAACTGGTCGTTCAATCCGCGGTTGAAACTCTGATGTGGGAGGGAAGCTTTCCGATTTTTATACGTTGCGGAACCTGTATATTCGAGAGACTGTTGATAGGCAATGGTTTCAGTTCCGTTGAAATTGGTGCAACCAACGGAGCTTCGTCTCTTATGCATTTTTAGGGACTCCGACGAAGTGGTCTTTACGAGACCGTTGGTGGGGCGCATCTCTGCAGACGATGGGTTCAGTCGTCGGGTGGATACTTCAGCGGATTTCTGCTGAGAATTTCTAATGGGTATTGCTGCTGAAGCAAGCTCCGTAGCATCTGATAACTGTGAGTTGGATGAATTCTGACTTTCGACGGATGTTTGCGGGCTTGCAGATTTTTTACCGTTTGGTGGCCTTGCCAGGTGAATTTTTTTCTGGTCACCCATGTGCTCTTCTCCAATTGGAATCTTTTCAGATTGTCCTAATGGCTTACCTGCTGAATTCTGACAATCGACTGATGTCTGCGGGCTGACTGATTTTCTACCGTTTGATGACATCATTAGTCGGAGTTTCCTTTGACCATTTGTGTTATCTTCTTGAACAGCAGCGACCTGTTGAGATTGTCTAACAGGCAGAGCTTCTGTTTTCTGCTCAGGATTTGACAATTGTCTTTTGAATGACTCCATCGACCGTCTATCTACCGACGACTGAGGGCTTACTGAAGCTTTCCCATTAGACGGCACCTTGACGAGAGTTTTTTTATTCAGTTCCCCAGAGATAGTTTGTCCTGGAATGTTTTGCATCTTGTCGCCGCTTGTTACGTAGAACTTCGATTTAGTTAACGAAGCGAACGACACGCTTTTCCCCTTAAGAGATCCTCTTTTCTGGAAAAAGAGCTTGTAGGTAATATTTTATGGTGACTTCGTGATGCCCGATTAGAAATTTAAAATAGTTATTCGAAATTTGTTTTCGTTTGTTTAGTGAAATTTAATCCTATTTTCCATTGTGACATGTCCGTGATCTTACTTGTGTTTCTGTTCTGTTCCTACTTGTGTTTGTGTGTGTGATAGATATAGAGCACGCAACATAATCAAATCCTTTTTATTAATGTTATTTTTTAATAATTTTATTCCATTTACTTGTGAAAAATGGAAAAAAATTGCTCTAAAACAAGTAATCATAGAAGAATTTTTTTAAAGAATACACGCTGGCTAATAAATCTGGGTGCATGACCTTTAAATTTACTTGTATGATTCATTCATAAACTTATTCGTATGAAATATACATTTACGCACGTGGTTTATACAATTTTTTACACGTGGGTCTTTAGTTATAAATTAATGATTATTGTGAGTTACGTATGTTAACAATTGGGAACGGGAACGTAATTTATTATTATCATCATCAATTATCGCTAACGGTACCATCATTTGTAAGCTAAGGTATCATTTAATTATAGATTATGACTCACCCCCGACATGATGACAAGGTTAGACGATATTTCGTCACACGGAAATGTTGATTAAACTTTCTCTTTCTCAATATTTTTCGTTTCTACTTACGATACATATTTCGTACGATATTTCACTTACACTTCGTGTTCAGAACGTGAGTTTTATATTATTTCCTATACAACACGTATCCCGATCACGTATAGCACTTATATCGGCCCGTGATGCTTCGCACGACAGCGTATCGGAGACACTGAGACTTTCAATAACAGTGATGTAATAAATATCTGTTTCTCGAACGTTATAAGCATAGCTGTTATCAGTTGATGGGTTATCAGTGAAGGCTGTTATCTATGGCAAGTCTAGCTTGCTTTTGGTTAAAGGTTGCGTCATCGATGAGTCAGCGCGCAATGCAATCGCGTAAACGATCTCTATCTTTTAATTACATTAATATTATAACCCTTAAGTAGAACAATAAAGAGTTATCGTATTTAGACGCCTAATTAGAGTTGTTTGAAGTTACGCTTTGATTGCCGTAATTGCCAGAGCATAATTGCACCCATGCGTCTGATACAGATAAGGAAGGTGCGACGTGCTTTATGTGTGGCAGCTCACACCTGTTTTTTTTTACTGTAAATTAGTACGTATATAGTGACAAAAACATGTTTTTCTGGCATATCGCGAGCTCAAGGTTCCACCGATTACAGCAACGATAATTTTATAATTAGTATAACGATGTCGGTGCGTTCATTTTTCTTTGAATAATTACGTCTGTTTCTTTTTATTATACAGTTATTTTCACTATGAAAAGTCCATGGCTTATTTTAAAAGTTTTCTAGATATAGTTACGCACTTCATGTGAACTTAGACTGCGTGGGAACGGGCATGTTTTTTTCGTTAGAAATCTACTGAATTCCACCAACCATTTCACATTGGTATAAGGTTGAATAAACGTTTATCTATGAAATAAACGTTTTATCAACGTAGTTTCAGTGAAATCAACTCATAATCAACGCTGGTTCAACGTAATACGTTTGGAGAAACTAAACAGAAGTGTTTGTAGAACATATATCTAGTGATATTTGTATATAATTTGTATTGTTATTCGAAATAGTAATTCAGATTACTTTATAGCTTGAAAATGAAACCAGTGCTATATTAGTTGATTTTTCACGCTAGGGAAATTATTTTTCGTGAAGTAAATGTACACGTTAAATACAATGATAGTGAGGCCTACACCACGAGCAACTCGATCACTCATTAAATACTCACGATGATAGTGAGGCCTACATCATTAGCTACTCGATCACTCATTAAATACTCACGATGATAGTGAGGCCTTCATCATTAGCAACTCGATGACTCATTAAATACTCACAATGATTATGAGGGATTTCGTTTTACAACTTCAATTCTTGATTGGCCAGCGAACTTTACACAGAAATATTTCTTTACCTTCTGAAACTAACACACATAATCGTATATCGTCATGTACATGGTACAGGGTGTTTCAGAATTAAGTAACCCTTTTAATTTGTTAATAAATAAAAAACTAAGAACGTTATGAAGTTGAAACCTGTTTTATTTAAAAGAAGAACATTTTTATGGTAATATTGTATCCTAGTTTTTAAATATAATATCTTTTAAATGCCCACCACAATTGTTTTGACAAAATAGGCTCTTCTCTATAATTAAACACAAATTTAGCAAGCTATACAGGATAATGACGTAACTATGATACAATATTACCATAAAAATGTTCTTCTTTAAAAAAAAAACAAGTTTCAACTTCATAACGTTCTTAGTTTTTTATTTATTAACAAATTAAAAGGGTTACTTAATTCTGAAACACCCTGTACAACTATAAAATGATAAAGCAGTATATATTCACATTAATTGTCATTGTGCGCATCGCTGAACAACACTGATGACATATCCATGTCGTCAGGCATATTTATAATCTTACGCATGCAGGTGCATGGTTTCGTTCCCATATATAATCTCAGCAAGTAAAGTTGAATTTCGCTGATATCGTGCAGCGAACGATTATTTCCATTAGGTCTCACCTCATAATGCTATTCGTACGACCTATTTCGCTGTTCTGGAAGAAGCAGAAATAGCGGATACCAATTATAATATTTACGACATTGCTTTGTACAAAGAGACGGTCACGACATTCTGTTATATATTGGGACGTTATTTGCATTCCAACGTAAAACGAGACTTTTATAGTATTTCATTATACGTATATAACGGGACGGTAACGGCATTCTATTACACAACGTGGCGTGATTTACATTCTGTTATGTAACAGAACGACAACGGCATTTTCTTGTGTAACTGGGAGCTATTTTTATTCCAGTGTTTTGAGATACGCCTAAGGCATTTTTGATTATATTAATAAGCATTCTAATTCCTTAGAGTCGCTTCTAAAATAATTCTTCTCATCATCGACAGGAAGAGTAGCGAAAAAATTTTAGCATAGCCATTTTGAACGGAAGCTGTAGCTCTAAATTAATGTATATATATTCATTGGAGAAAATGCGCACTCTCATAGTACAGCAGGTGCGTGAACGATCAGTGTGAGACATGAGTCATAAGTCACGAGTCATGAGTTGCGCCAGGGCTTTAATACCACCCACAATTATTGTATGTTTTATTAACAATAGAAATGCATTACAGATTGGAAAATATTCATTCACATCTGCGGCACGTAAAAATTCAATATCGGCGATATTTATCTGCTGGTTGTTTTCTAGTGAAAATATGTTTGTTATTCGCTCATAAGTGACAAAGCTAACCACGTAATATGCTATTCCGATAAATAATTTCAAATTATCATTTTGGGCACTTATATATGGTACGTACAATGTTGCTCAATAAAGTAATAGTGATTTTTACTAATGTTTTATAATAGCGACAGCTACATTCGCTGTTAGGGTCAGAGCAATCCATCATTACAAAAATTCATACAACATAATAATGTGGAGGTCTGCTTTGACCGCGCTTTAATCACTATTTGTTTTCTTCAGCCGCAGCATCTCCCTAACAGAGACTGAAGAGAAAAATTAGCTTTGCTATACACTGTTAGAAAAGTTACCGTTAAACGGTAATACCGGCGTTTCAGGGCCGGTTGGCGTGTGAAAAGAAACACCGTGTCGCCGTTTTCATTCTAATTTAACACTAGAAATCCGCAAAACATCTGATAAAATCGGCGAAACAGTCTATTTTCACGGGGCGGCCGGCCACTATAACGCCAGAGGGACCGTTTTTTCACCGTTTTTTCTAACAGTGATATATAATTTTCTCGGCAATCAGCTGATTGCGAGAAGGCAGTCACTGTTGCCTGACTAACCACACTTTGTGATATCTGTAAAATTTTGATAGGTCATACAGTACTGAGTTTTTGTCCACGTATTTGAATTTAAAATTACTTATATTATCAGTCTGCTCATATCGCAAGTTCACAAGGAAAAGAAAACGCCAAGCAAATTCACCATATCGATATTGATCAATATCGATATGGTGAATTTGTTTGGCGTTTACTTTGCTTTTAAACTCCTTGCATTTAGAATATGTTTCTGTGTCGTGGCAGCGGATTCTCTACTATATTAAAATATACCTTGTGGTCTATGAAAGTGAACTGATCTGGGCCTATACTTTCAAAAAAGTTAAGAGATCGTCAGTTCATCAGCCAATAATTGACGGCCTTTCAAGCAAAATCCAAAAATTATAGACAAGAATATAGAGCGTAAGTACTTACGTTCACTTGGCGAGTTTTGAAAGTATGGCCCCAGTTCTACGTAATCCTTGTACGTTAGGGCCCATGGGAGGATACCCAGTAACTCCGTCTAATTAAGGAGCGTAGCTACAATACGTCAACAGTTTATAACATTTAGTTTATTTTCTATGATATTAGATCATGTCATGGAATATTCTTTGAAGTTCTCGTGTAAAAAAGTAGATCTGAAGAAAAGTATGTCTAATAAGATGGGGTAAGATTTTTCCAGCGCGGCGGAAAGCGCGCTCATGATTTAATTAAATAAGTCGTCTGATTTCAGTCGTCTTAAACTCTTCTATTTTTTATCGGAAAATAAAAGAATGAAAGCGAATTTTTTATCAATAACACAAATTTCAAACATTATCATGATGCGCTGTCCGAAACTTATTCCATCGATGTTAAATACTCTAAAATAAGTCACGTTTGCAAATACATGAGTTATCCTCAGCATGCAAGTGAATTATATTGAGTTGATCTGCATACAATAACTATGAATTATTTTTACTAATACATAGCCAGTTGTTTCGAGATATACCTAAATCACTTGAAATTAAATTTAATGACAGAAAATATATTTTATACTAACAAAATACACAAAAAATGAAATCAATTATCTATTAATGAAAACCTTGTCCTCATAACCTCATTAACAACAATCTTATAATGATAACTTTACACAATGGCGTAGAAATCATGTATACGTGTAGCTCTTCAACATAAGTACACATTTTAATGACCTATAACTATACTGATACATAACGATAATGACCTAAAATTATACTGATATATAACTATAATGACCTATAACTATACTGATATACAACTATCATGACCTATAACTATACTGATATATAACTATCATGACCTATAACTATACTGATATATAACTATCATGATCTATAACTATACTTATATATAACTATCATGTCCTATATCTATACTGATATATAACTATCATGTCCTATAACTATACTGATCTATAACTATCATGAACTATCATGTCCTATAACTATACTGATCTATAACTATCATGACCTATAACTATACTGATCTATAACTATCATGTCCTATAACTATACTGATCTACAACTATCATAACATATAACTCATGTTAGTTTATTACATCAATGTTTGACGTGGCCGCCGCTGTGGCGCCGTAGCCGCGCAAGCCACCGGCGCAGGAACTGTCGCTGCTTCTGAAAAACAAGGAAAATATCTGACTAATAATACAACTAATTTTGTAAATAATGAAACAATGGCTGCTATTTACATCCTCGCTAAGGCAAACTAGTGATAATTTGTCCAAATTACGCCACACTATTTGTGTTTTTGGAAGACATTATGACCTACAATTATTAGACCATGTAATATATCTTGAGAAGCGTTCTTAATTTGTCCATGAAAAAATAATTTAATACATACTCAATATATCTTCTTGCAGAACATATAAAAGTTATATTAGATCATATAAAAGTTCTAACCTTTATAGTATTAAGCCGGCGCGTAATCTTTGGCACAGTGGATGACTGAGATGCTAATGAAGATAAAGTTCCATTGTCAGATCTTGGTTTGATCTTTCCTTTCGTATCAATTTCTATTATTTCATCTTTTTCTTCATGTAAATCATTGTTTTGCAAAACTTTGCTGTAGCCAGTGTGTTTTTGAACAGCAGATTCTATCATATTTGTTATGTTGACTGAAGTTTTCGGCCGCCATTCATGTTTGGTGTTCGCTATTGAAGAAAGTAAATGATGATTTTTGACATCATCCAGCCAGATTTTGTTCTGCCAAGACCTTATCTGGTCTGCCATGGAGGGTGAATGTAATTTTTCAATTTCAGACCCTGATGCTACGTCACTTGAACGAAATTTAATGTCAGGTTCACGTCCCGCGTTCACTGCCTTGTCGCTTATTGCTGGGCCCTTATGATGTGCTCTGATTGCAGGTCCATTTTCCTTATCTTCACGATGTGGTTCATGTGATGTATAATTTAATGGTGAATTCTCATGTGTATCAGAATATGGTTTTATCTCGTCTCGTAGTGTAACAGGATTGCCATTATTAGCTTCATCTAAGGGTGGTAAATTATTTAATTCGGGCGTTCGTTGGAAGGCCATCTTGGATTTGGAAGTGAAACTCATAGGAGAGGGAATATTTTCTTCCTTCTTCTTTTCCTTTTCACCAACTTTATCAAACAAGATGTTTGTTTGTGGGATGCTGCGTTGGTTAATATATTTGAAGTGATCCACCTTGGTGGGGTTGGAGGATGTCATTGCCACCACCACACGAGGCTGCGGGGTGTCAACCACGATGCGGTGGAAAGAAAATCTTGGTAATGGGTTAATCTCTGGTGTAACACCTTCTGGTGTGGTTGCAATGATTTTTCTGTATGTGTTATTGTTGTTCTTGCTTGCTTTCTGAACAGTCAAGTTATTGAATACATGCTTGTTTGTAGAATATTCCGTATTTTTATTAATCTTGTCCATGAATTCGACATGAAAAACTTCTTTCTGAACTGTTGTCTTCTGAATTTCTGAACTGTTGTCTTCTGTTTCAGTGTTGGCAAATCCTCGAATTTTATAAGCGGTATAATTATCGTACGAATTCTCGGTGGATGCTCTAGCAGAATTAAAATTATTCAAATCCATTTTCTGTTTTGTTGAAAAAATTTTGTCGAGTTGAATATCCAAGTTTGAGGCTAGCAAAGCCAGCAAGAACCGTTGCCATGGGTTCTTCTCAACTCGGTCACATCCATCAAAGCTGCAGTTGAGTTTCAACTTCTGTGTTGAGATCTTGGACCTTTCTGAAGATTCATTTCCTTTGGAAATCATCGATATTCTTGGATTAGAAAGCTGTGTCTGGCTAGGTTGAGATGAATTTCCAAATTTCCGGTTATTGTTCGGCAATGTTATTCCACCCATATCATTCAGCGATGTCCATTCTGAAATGATTCACAATTAATGAATGAATTAAATAATGAATTATCACAAATAAATACTTATAATTTATTAGTGATAAGTTATCAGTAATAAATTTATTATAATTATTATTCAGTATGCTCGATTGCTGTTAGTGTTCAAGTGTTAAGTGAAATTGTAATCTTTCACATGTTTAGTGCAAGTGAATTATTGTAATTGTAAATAATTATCATTTTTGTATTGAGTTGAATGAATTTTCTAGAATGTATTGAGGCATTTTGAGGATGAAGAGGGAATCACCCACTCATCACCCACTCACCACCCACTCATCACCCACTCATCACCCACTCATCACACCACTCATAAATACAGCCATACAGCGATTCCTATGGTTACTGATAAATATAAATTATTGTCTTTAGTGAACAAGGCAAAGTTAAAAGTAAATAATAACACATCCCACACATCCCACTCAACTGCCGGGTGTGAAGGGGTCCAATAAACTCATGCACCCATCAGAGTCCTCTGTAATATACACACGTGAATTATATATAATATTCTATGTAAATATATTTGTATATTATTACTTTATATATTTTAAACTATAAAAGGTATCCTCGACGTCTGCATACCTGCACCCGGAAGTCCTTCTGCTGCATGTTGCTGCAGGAGCCCTCCCGCCTGCACCTCCTGCAAATAAATAAAAGTTTAGGATTCCCTGCGATGATTTTACATAAATACAATAAAATATGGCGTGGGTAAGAATAAAGTTTGACAATTGGACATATATTCTGGGATAATGTTGAGTGGCGATGTCTTTGAATGTTGGTGTAGGATGCTAACAGGTAAGTTCAGCCGTAACATGTTGATGTTACAGCTGTAACATGTTGATGTGACAGCTGTAACATGTTGATGTGACAGCCGTAACATGTTGATGTGACAGCCGTAACATGTTGATGTGACAGCCGTAACATGTTGATGTGACAGCCGTAACATGCTAAAGCCGATGCAGTCATTCGCTCGCATCGATTTGAAGGAAATTAAATATTGAAGTTGCGCTCGTGCGACGTCTGATGACCTCACTTGACCTCGCATCACCTCACATGACCTCACTCGTGGTAAGGTACTAAAGATGACCTCCTGATGACCTCACATGACCTCAATCGTTGTATTGACCTCCTGATGGCCTCACATGACCTCAATCGTTGTATTGACCTCATAATGACCTCACATGACCTCAATCGTTGTATTGACCTCCTGATGACCTCACATGACCTCAATCGTTGTATTGACCTCACATGACCTCAATCGTTGTATTGACCTCACATGATCTCAATCGTTGTATTGACCTCCTGATGACCTCACATGACCTCAATCGTTGTATTGACCTCATGATGGCCTCACATGACCTCAATCATTGCATTGACCTCCTGATGACCTCACATGACCTCAATCGTTGTATTGACCTCCTGATGACCTCACATGGCCTCAATCGTTGTATTGACGTCCTGATGACCTCACATGACCTCAATCGTTGTATTGACCTCCTGATGAAATCATGATGACCTCATAATGTTTGTCAGACTGTTTGTCAGACTGTTTGTTAGCACTTCAAACGCCCCGTTGGTCTGTTATTTTCCCAGATTCTTATCCTTAACGCCTCAGCGACCACAAAAAGCATTTTATCGTCAGGCGTCGAATCGAAAACATCTTCATTTTAATGCAAACGAATGAGATTTTTTCCTTAGATAATTTATCTTAATTCAGTAGTAAAATTAAGAAGCAACATCGTTACGGATCAATATAAATCTACGGAGATCGCAACCAGGATTCAACTAACTGTTGAATCAATATTCAAATACCGCATGTTTTTTCGAAGGTCTTTGCTTTTTTTCTTGTTTATATTCAGACTTGAACTTTTTTCTTGCCAAGCACCAAATTTTCCGTAGATTCTCAGCAGCCGTAATTCCTAGACCTGAGCTGCTGAGCCCACCATATCTTTGGGGCTGTAGGGCTGCTTACACAAGCCCAGTGTTGAGCCCCATATTAAGTCCCATACATTGAGGACCTAATCTCCTTTAGGAAACCTCTTACGGAGCCTCGTTCAGTGATATCTTAATATAAATTGTAAATGCTTACGTCATCTAATATTATTTAAACTGATAATTCGTGCGGATTCAAAGCACAGTTTTTTCAATCCAAACACCGAATTATACTTTTAATCGATCTGCCTAATCATTGTCAAATATTTGCTAAATTGGTATTCTCTAAATAAGTAAATAATATGTTTGAAGTTATCCATGATCTATATTTTAACGACACTTTGGCTCGAATATTCTCAAAACATCATTTTCACAGCTCGCCACAATCCGCTCCCCGCGGCTATATGGTTAAAGGCTTGCCTTCAGAAGAGCAATGCGTATAACATATGACCCTCATCCCAACCCTCATAACTCGAGGGTAACGTTATAACACGTCTTATACGTCACATTCACTTCGTCATCGTCAATCATGAACGTCACTCGGACGAGCTCCTCCAGAAATTAATTCGAATTCCGAGGGAAGCTGAGGGATTGACACCCGTCTCCCCTCTCAGGAGCTGTAGGGGTGACTATCATCCCACACAAGCACCGGAAGTAGTTACCCGTCAAAGGATACAAAAAGGATAACCGCTTTCTAATTAGATGAAAATTTGATATGGGCGAATATTCATACTCATAGGCTTGGTAAAATTGATTGCAAAGTAATTCTCCTTGGCAATCAACTTATGCACTCAGAGATTGCAGTGTGTGCAATCAACTTATGCACACACTGCAACCATCACTCACGCACTCAGAGAAGCGAGTGAGATTTTCTCCAAAAAGCAATCGAGATTTTGTACTTGCGTGGGCCGGATTCTGACCAATCCCTGTTAAAATATGTAAGTTAATTGTGGTTATTTATATTATGGTTATTTAAAATTCACCTGGACTAACCATTGACCTCAATTCAATTATTCAAAGTCATTACATTAAATCATTCTTATTATTATCAATTAAATAATAGCAATTTATGAAATTTATAATTAAAGTAGTCTTAATTATTATTGTTAATATTACTAAGTTTACGAAGTGAACTATTCAAATAGTATTTCTTCTTATAATTAATTATTTTATGTTCATGAATCTGTTAGGAATTTTAGTGACTATATTAAATATGAAATGAATAAACAATGATGTATGAGTGTTGAGGTCCAATGTCAGTTGCACTTACTTGATTGACTGTGTTGGTGAATGCTGCCTCTGCTGATACTCCCATGTCAGCAGCAGCTCCTGCAGCACCAACAAAACCGCCTTCAGCACCAACAGCACCAACAGCACCACCTTCAGCACCAACAGCACCACCTTCAGCACCAACAGCACCACCTTCAGCACGAACAGCACCACCTTCAGCACCAACAGCACCACCTTCAGCATCAACAGCACCACCTTCAGCACCAACAGCACCACCAACAGCACCAACAGCACCACCTGCAGCACCAACAACACCACCTGCAGCACCAACAGCACCACCTGCAGCATGCAGCACCAACAACACCACCTTCAGCACCACCAACACCACATTCAGCACCACCACCTGCAGCACCAACAGCACCACCTGCAGCACCACCTGCAGCACCAACAACACCACCTTCAGCACCACCAACACCACATTCAGCACCACCACCTGCAGCACCAACAGCACCACCTGCAGCACCACCTGCAGCACCAACAGCACCACCTTCAGCACCACCAACACCACATTCAGCACCAAAATCACCACCTTCAGCACCAACAGCACCACATTCAGCACCAACAGCACCACCTTCAGCACCAACTGCAGCTATTTTATCATTTGTTTTTTTTTATCAATCCTACATACATATTTTATCATCTGATGCACTTAAGTCTAAGACGACTTAGATGCTACATAAATGATATCGAACATGCAATTATCGGATGCAATGGGTCAGACTGTCTGAAGAGTGACACACTTTTCCATAACCAAGGCACATGCAGAGATCGGACGTAGCAGTGATACGTTCTCTTGCAGAGCTAAATTTTGCCAGGATGTTCGACACAAAATCATAAAATGCATCGCTATTTGGACATTGAACGGCTTATTTCTCATGGTGTATCATAGCTGATAACGTCTCTGAACAATTGAGTAAAATGAGGAGAATAACTAATAATGTATACGTACTTACCCATGTGAAGAAAGAAGATGAGCAGAAAAAGTAAGTTATGGAAATGGAAAAGTTTCATTTCTGCAATGTTTTATTTTGTTTAAAATTCAACTCAATTTCACAAAATGTCTGAATACTTCAATGTGTTATCGTATTATGGCCTGAAACAAATGAAAGGACATTGAAAATAATAAATAAGGTTTACACAAGCAATAATGCATTATTATTTCAAAGCATATTTCTAATGTACTACACATTAAAAAGCAAAGTTAGCTCATTTTTAAACAACATTATAAAAATTTTTTATTTATGTGCCATTTCCCCATGGCTCATTTTTATGTTCTAATTGCTGGACCAGTAACCAAGATCCTTTGCTCCCCTTAGTCGCGGCCTTAAGGCTGCCATTGAACTTAAGGCCCCGCGCCCTTAGCCTTAATTAAGCCACGACGACCGATTCGTTCCAGTTAATGGAATTTCTTTTCGTCCGAGGGAAATTAAAACGACCGCCATTGTTGAGTCATCCATTAGGGAACGTGTCCCTCCCCTCCCTCCCTCCTTTCCCTCCTCCCCCCGGCGGGCCGTTTTAGGGCGCTGATGGACTCGGCCTCTGCGACGTCCAATCCTGTCCTGATTTTTTTTCAAAAATTCCAGGGCTTAACAACAGCAGTGATTGGTCAGTGTGGCCAATCACCTTGAAGCTGTACAACTGTAGTGATTGGACAGTGTGGCCAATCACCGTGAAGCTCAACAAATTTAGTGATTGGTAATGTTGCCAATCACCTTGAAACTTGACAAATGCGGTGATTGGAATGTATACCAATCACCGCGAAGCTCAACAACAGCAGTGATTGGACAGTGTGGCCAACCACGATGCATCTCAACAACAGTAGTGATTGGACGTTGCCAATAACCATGAAACTTGACAAATGCACTGATTGGAATTTATACCAATCACTGTGAAACCTAGCAACTCCAGCGATTGTACTGGATCTTCAATCATCTTGAAGCTTGGCAACTGTAGTGATTGGGTAATGTCACCTCGTAGCTAATTAACTGCTGGGATTGGACGGCGGCGCCAATCACCTCGAAGCTTGACCATTTCAATGATTGGACTGGATAGACAATTACCTTGAAGCTTGACAACTGTAGTGATTGGATAATGTCACCAATCACCTTGTACCTAATTAACTGCTGGGATTGGACGACGGCGCCTATCACCTCGAAGCTTGACTACTTCATTGATTGGACTGGCAAGACAATCGCCTCGAAGATTGACAACAACAGTAATTGAAGAAAGATCTACAATTGCCTTGAAACCTCATATTTGCTATAAAATAAAGTCTCATATATCTCCCTGTCATATAACGAACATATATACTTTCTTTTATAAGCAAATTTTCACTATCTTTCCAGCCTATGTAGTTCAACCGAATAATAATAGCATTTATTTTACGCGAAGATTGCCAGGCATTCACCGCACAGCAATGACCATTAATTCCACTCTACTTAAACTCTTCTCTGAGACCCGATAACAGATAATAGAAATACATTAGCACGATCTGCTTAGGCTTAAGTAAATGGGGCAGCGTTTGTTACAGGGTTCATTTCAACAGGTAAAGGTGGAGGGGGAGGGATGGATGGAATAGAAGATAAATGGAGAATATAAATGGAATGGGGATAGGTGGGGAGAATGAGTGGAATGGAGATAGATGAGGATGGATGAAATGGGGTAGATGAGGAAGAATGGTATAGAAGATAAATGAAGAGAATTCAAGGAATGGGGATAGATGAGGATGAATGAAATGGGGTTGGGGATATATGGGATGGATGGAATGGAGATGAACCAAATGAATGACAAGGGATGGATAGAATGGTGCAGGTTTACGTCCCAATGAGCCGCTCAATCAGCCGCCCTCCCATCTTTCCGTGATCCTCTACCCGTGATTGCACCAAGCTTCCCGTGATTACACAAAGGTCTTTATTTACCCACGAACCTTCAGGAGATTGTGAGTCAATTTTGAGGATAGAAAAACTAGTGGGATTGTTGGGATCACTTCACGGAATATTAATTTATGAAATTCAACACGCCACAACCCACTGGACTAGCAATACGTTATGACATAAAATAAATATTCACTCTTAAAAACAGGATCCTCAGTAATAACAACAAAATATTCACTCTTAAAAAAGGATCTCCAGACATAATAAAAAAATTGCACAAAACAAAAGAAAGATATATAAAAAATATTAATTGAGGAGATCGTCCAAAGCAGGATGAACTGCTGTGGTCTGTACGGCAGACTACGCGATCACTGAGCGAGGATGTGACGTCAGAATTGGATTCTTCCGTGACATTATGCAGTGTAGCTCTGCAGTGCAGCTCTGCAGTGTAGCTCTGCAGTGCAGCTCTGCAGTGTAGCTCTGCAGTGTAGCTCTGTAGTGTAGCTCTGTAGTGTAGCTCTGCAGTGTAGCTCTGCAGTGTAGCTCTGCAGTGTAGCTCTGCAGTGTAGCACTGCAGTGTAGCTCTGCAGTGTAGCTCTGCAGTGTAGCTCTGCAGTGTAGCTCTGCAGCGTAGCTCTGCAGTGTAGCTCTGCAGTGTAGCTCTGCAGTGTAACTCTGCAGTGTAGCTCTACAGCGTAACTCTGCACTGCAGTAATCATTGTAGCTTTGTAGTGCAGCCACTTATACAGGGTGAACCAGAATTAAGTAACCCTTTTAATTTTTTAATAAATAAAAAACTAAGAACGTTATGAAGTTGAAACTTGTTTTATTTAAAAGAAGAACATTTTTATGGTAATATTGTATCATAGTTACGTCATTATCCTGTATAGCTTGCTAAATTTGTGTTTAATTATCAAGCCTTAAATTTTCATCATGATTGGCTACAGCAAAGAAGAAAGAACGAAAATTCTGCACACCTACATCAGGACGATGTCAATAACAGAAGTTCAACGTGATTACAGGATCCATTTCAAAACAAGAATAAGTCCTTCAAAAAAAAAAACAATTAAATCTCTTTATCGAACATTTGCGGATACCGGGAAATTACTAATGAAGGTTATGAAAGCAACGAAGAGAAGAGCCCTATTTTGTCAAAACAATTGTGGTGGGCATTTAAAATATATTATATTTAAAAACTAGGATACAATATTACCATAAAAATGTTCTTCTTTTAAATAAAACATGTATCAACTTCATAACGTTCTTAGTTTTTTATTTATTAACAAATTAAAAGGGTTACTTAATTCTGGTTCACCCTGTACCACCACCACCCTAAACACCATCCGCCACTCTCAACGCTACGCCACCTCGCGCCGCCGCTGCCGCGTCTAGAGTGGCGGGAGTGACCGGCGATACCGTGGCGTTTGCAAAGTCTTACCAGGTCTTACCTGCTTTAGCCGTAAGTCTTGACACAGGGTGGATAGCTAGGTCAGCATAGCCCAAGTCCACAGTGCGATTCATATACCACCCCGAGCGTAGCGCAGCCGGGCATCTTCACGGCTTTTGACACAAAGCGCCCACCACAACAGCGCCGTTCAGTCACAGGCCGCAGCGCATACAGGCCGGAGCACAACTGACCGAAGATCAACAGGCCCTACCGCAACAGCTTCTCCTAACGTAACCTAAGTTCCTAACCTAACCTAACCTAACCTGCGCCTCTGTTGCGGTAGGGCCTGTTGCGCTCCGGCCAGTTGTGCTCCGGCGCTGTGAAGCAGTGGCTGAGTTGTGCAAAGCGGATTTACTGTTAGCCGGAGTTACCCACAGCTCATTGATCTGAGGCTATGTGTAGATATTGCATGCTGATGGTTGGCGTTAGGCCCAGAGCCTGTTTACGAGTCAATTTTGTTACCCACGGCTGCGCTCCCCTTGACACAATTGTAAGTCTTGACGCAATTGTGTAAGTCTTGACACAATTCTAAGTCTTGACACAATTGTAAGTCTTGACACAATCGTAGGTCTTGACACAATCGTAGGTCTTGACAGACGTAAGTCTTGACACAGCGGTAAGTCTTGACACAATCTTTAGTCTGGACACAATCGTAAGTCTTTACACAACCGTAAGTCTTGACACAACCGTAGGTCTTAACACAATCGTAGGTCTGGACACAACCGTAAGTCCTAATCCAACCGTAAGTTCGAAGTTGATTACAAACTTGAAATCCACTAAAACTTGCTGAACTAAGAGGATCGCAAGTCTCTTATTATCATGAAATTGTAAATCAGTAGAGGATCGTTAGCCATGAGACTGTCGCAAGTGTCAAGATGAACAAGTGTTTCCAAATGGGACGACGGCCTTCAGAAACACTTGATCGACCTTCGATTACAGAATTAAACCAGTGATATTGACACACATTCTTACTTACAGCACGAGCTGAGTGCAAGAGGCATTCGTCAGCCCTCTCGCCTTCACAAACTGGGCCAAAAAGACCCACGCAAGGGCAAAAACTGCATTGATGTTTGAACAAATTCTTACTTATTTATTGGGTGGGTGTACTTATATTCGTGATGTGTTAGTATATTAATATATTAACTAATGTATGAAATAATGCGTTATGCTTAGAAAATCGTAAACTGTATAAGACCAAAGATACATAAAATAAACAAACTATATGTATGATATTTTATTATTTTATTTATTTATTGATCGTCTTTCTTTTTCTTATGCATTTATTGAATTGTGTTTTTATTTCCTTCTTTATTACCAAGACTTTCGAATCTGGCAATCTGCTAACCTTGCTGAAAAAACTGCTCTAGCAAGGCTTCCCCTAGAAAATTTTCTTTAGATGACACCGGCTTCAGAAAAAAAATATTTTCTGGGTTAACTTCAAATGTTTGGATCGTTACATTATATATTGCTCAAAGCTCAGATGAGAGTCTGAAACTATTGAGTCAGATTAACCTAAAGCCATATATGTCATGTAAAATAAACTTATGAATGCAACAAGCTCACTTTCATATTATATAGATATATTTTGAAGCACTTTTTAAAGATTAACTGGCCCGAACAGATATTATGACAAATCTACATTTGTACTTTAGTACACACCTTATTCCCGTTTATACCATTTACACTCCATACACATAAAAAGTATTCAATATTCAAGAAGAGAACGTGCCATTAAGAATGGATCTTCCGTCAATGATCAAAG